GTACGTGTTTAAATCGTGTTTTTGTGTAAGAAAGGGCTTCTAAACAGTGTGATTGTGTGGCTGAAGTGACTAAACAGCCACAAAAACATCATTTAAAGGTCATATATTAAACAACATTGACCCCTGTGAGCTTTAAGCCATGTTATAATCATAGACTGTATATATATAAATGGGCATAACTAAGTCGTTACCCGCAGCGTTCCAAATAGGAAGTTCACATGTGGGGTCTTCTGGCTCCTTCTGACTCTGACTCCCATTGACTTACATTGGAATACTGTGGCCCCTCTCTCTTTGCCAGGCTGGCGCCACCTAGTGCCTCCGTTCAATTTCAATTATCTCCAGTAACTAGGTCAGGAATCAAAATACAATAGACGGTTCGCAAAAACCCCGGAAGTGCAAGTTCGGGCACCAGTCAATCAGTGAATAGCCATATATTCTGTGTTGTCAACAATTCCCGAGGTCGAGGATTTAAAGCCGGAATAAAGAGAATTTTTGGTGAATTTTCATCAAAGGGAAAGACGTTATTGCCCTTCTTCCTACAGGATTTGGGAAAAGCTTAATATACCTGCTAGCCCCGTTAGCGACACATCACATATGTGACGACCAAATAGCAACGATTGGTTAAATGATAAAAAGTACCCGCCTACCGTCAAGCGAACAAAATCTAAGGCTGCGAGGTCAGACGAAGTTTGTACGAATTGAAACAAAGTAAAACTGGCTGATGAATCAGGTTACCTCTCTCTATAACTGCTGCAGAGTCTTGTCATTTTGGTCTTAAAATGTTTGGATTAACCTGCTTTACATGATCCTGGTGCTTTTTTTTCAGTGTTTTCCTAATAAATTAAGAACACTATGGGAGACGTCACACTTGTTTCATCCACGTCTTTATAGAGTCTATGGTTTTAATTAGTGCTGTCATGCGATTAAAAAAATTGAGAGATTAATTAATTATGATCTGTAATTAATTAATCTAATTAATCTCATTTTAATCTCACCTAAAAATTGCTGAGAAAAGCCTTCAATTTGAGGTATTTTCATTTAAATTCATTATTACATTATTGTGGCAGATCAAAAGACTGATATAGATTAAAAAAGTGACTTTATAAAGTCATTTATTGTTTAACAAATCTCTCCAAATTGGCTGTTGAGCCCAAGTCTCCATGAATAAGAAACTGTTTGCTGTAAAGTAAAGACGAGGAAATCTGAACATAATAATCTTTGTCTACTTAAAGACAATAAAAAGTCCAGTCTTTCCTTAACCATATTAAAAATATTATTGATAGAGAAATGCTTTATATATGAGATCACTGGTTTTAGTCCTTGTTTTAGTCCTGGTTTAGACCTGCTTTAGTCCTAGTTTAGTCCTAGTTTAGTACTGGAACGGATTAATCCTGTTTTAGTCCTGGTGCTAGTTCTGGTTTAGTCCTGGTTTAGACCTGGTTTAGGTTTTAGACCTGGTTTTAGTTCTGGTTTTAGTTCTGGTTTAGTCCTGGTTTAGTCCTGGTTTAGACCTGGTTTAGTCCTGGACTGGATTAGTCCTGCTTTTAGTCTTGGTGTTAGTTCTGGTTTAGAGGCGCACAGGAGGAAGCGCAGTTTACGCACGGAAAACACGGTCCACACGAGGCTCACGGGAGCACGTCGGTGTCCGCGCAGTAACTACGGAAGGAAACGTGGTCCCCGCGTTCTCAGGTTAATGACGATGATGAAGGTGTGTGTTTGTTTGTCTGTGTTTGTGTTTGTGTGTGTTTGTGTGCGTGTCCCCTCATGTGGCAGGTCACTATAGGACAGTAGTGCAGACATCATGAGCCTATGCAGGTTGTTTTCACCAGTGACATTTAAGTTGTAGGCAATATTATATTTGTTATTTTCTTTTATTTTTCACGTCGGGAGAATAATTTCCAAGACACGAATGCGTTTTAACCTGTGCACTGCTGCCTCTGTTCTACTGGCTCTTCGACCTCGTCCATTGTGCGACTGATGCCGCCAACGTTAACATGACGTTTACATCGCTCTTACTGCGCGCATTTTGTGTGGGTTTCCGGCAATGAGTGTAATTACCAAAATAAAAAAAATGTATAAATGTGTTTTTTGTGTGTGTGTGTGTTGTTGTTGTCCCAACAACACATAAAAACAGGTTTTAGAATAAAGCAACTTGCATACAGAAACACTAAAGTTAGAGATTAAAAACATAATGCGATAAATATGACTGTAATTAATTAATCGCAATTAACGCGATAATTTGACACCCCTAGTTTTAATGCTGTTACCTCATCAAAAACATACCCGGAGTTGTGTTTTGCTTCACACATATTTGAGTAATCCTCCTTTATTATTCCATGTGCATCCCCAAAGCTCAAAATGCTCTGTTCAACCTTGTGATGTCACAAAGCGGTAGTTTTCAAGTTAACAGCTACTTTTTTACCATTAGTGCAGCTGAGATTGGCGATTCCAGAGCTGAAATGATCCAAATGATTCTCTTCTTGACTTGATTTGTGCAGCAGATTTGACCTGAAGTGCGAGTTGATTTTGTATTTTATCACAGACTGACAGGCATAATGGTGGAAAACACATTCAAAACTCATTACAGTGTTGATCAGACTTGAAATGGCTAACAACCAGCCAGCTGACTCCCATAAGGCAACATGTGCAGCGCTGATTTGCAGCGTTGGATGGAGGAGTGCTCGTAGGCTGTACGCAGTAAATATTCATGCTACTTTAAGTACTAGAACCTTGTAGTACTTATTTTGATGCACCAAACCCAGCTAATAAGTTTTGATTCTCAGAATATTTTTGGAAGGTTATTTTTAGGTTAGCCGAACGTTCCTTGGAGAGTACTTATTCTAAGATTATTTTGGGAAGTTTTATGTCAGTTGTACAACTTTTTTTTGGTTCCTCCTAATGTTCCCTTAAGGCTCTTTGAACGTTCCAACCACACTGCTTCTTAATGTGTATAATTGTTTGATTTTGTAATTACTACAATCTCACTTATGTTATTTCTATTACACTGCAAACCTATCTAATAAATGTATAGGAACTGCTACTCTTACTATCCCACTTATGATTTTAAAAATACAATTTTCATTCAAAGGTATTAAATTAAATTTGCATCATACACAACATATACAAATATACAATTATAGACACTTATCACAGGATATTCAATTTTAGCTGTATCTTAATTTTTTCACTTCTCTTCACTTTACTTTTCATGCCTCTGCTGAGTACAGATGGCCAAATACATTAATAATTAAATCATTTCCATCTGCATTTATTAATCATTCCATTTTAGTATATTTACAGTCTTACCGTTTTACCATAATTCACTCTCCATCTCTTTTTTGTCATCTCAAAAGAATCAGAATCAGTGTGTAAATCCTTAAGCAATCGTCAGTCTGCTTGAAGGCCCAGGAGGCGCTAGAGATGCGCCAGTGAAATATTGTAAAACAGGCTCTCACATGTGCCTCCATCTTGAAAACGTTAAATGTTTCTCAACCCACTCACCACATCTTGAAAATGTATGCGGGGCTGATTGGATTTGCAGCTCTCCTGGAGATTCTGGGACATTGGAGTGCTGGTGTTGTAACTGCCTGTCACACTTTTAACAATGTGTAGGTAAACTATATTCTAGTATAAGTTTAGTTAAAATTTTCACCTCAGTTTTTGTCAGTAGAAGATTGAAAGTCTGTCCTGAAAGCTAAAAGTAGGAAAAACTGTAAAGTTTAAGAAAGTGTATGTATTTGTTAATGGACTTTTGACAGTGGCCAGTATTTAGGATCAGATGTTGTGTTTCTTTCGATTTGCTGTGGTCAATATCTGCTGTTGCTTTATGTGACCCAAATAGTTTGGTGCAATTCTTTACACAGCAGTGGTGTCTATTAGTCTGATTCATCAGCCGGTTTCATTTCGTGGAAACCGTCTGACCTCGCAGCATTAGGGTTTGTTCACCCGATGGTAGGCGCGTACTTTTTTAATTTACCCAATCGCTGCTAGTTGGTTGTTACATATGTAATGCGCCACATCCCGTAAGAAGAAGGGCAATAACGTCTTTCCTCTTGATAAAATTCACCAAATATTCTCTTTATTCCGACTTTAAATCCTTGATCTCGGAAATCGTTGCCAGCACAGAATGTCTGGCTTCATCTACATCCATCTCGACTGCTTTGTTTACTGTTGTGCTGTACCACAAAAGGGACCCAGACAGGTGCTTGAGTTTGCCGTTATGGCTTCACAGCTCTTGGGCGGTGCACAGTCTACAACTTCTGGGTTCTTGCAAACTATCTAGTGTATTCTGATTCCTGACCTAGTCGCTGCAGAGAAATGAAATTAAGCAAAGGCACTAGGTGTCTATAGGATTGATTGTAATACACATCATGGTTTTTCACATCAAAAAGTTTTTTGGAGTGCTGTGAGCTAGAACAGACCTGAAATAATTTACATCTTAAATGGCTGTGAAAAATGGGTGAGACATTCAATCAATTGCTGGGGCTGGAAACGAGGCTCATGAAGCTGGCATGTGTGCTATACAGATTACACAAAACTGACTCTTGTGAGGTTTTAGCCATGTTATAATGTTGTTAGCTCATCAAAAACATATCTGGAGTTGTGTTTTGTGTTGTGTTATTAGTCTGTCTATATCCCCAGAGTTCTACCTTGTGATGTCATGTAGAGGTAGTTTTCAAGTTAACAGCTACATTTTACCTTTCATTCAGTAGAGATTCTAGGGTTGAAATTTTCCAGATGATCCTAGTGAAGGTGTAAGGAGTTTAAAAACACAGTGGAGGGCTTTCTCTATTTCCATATGGCATCATAAGGTGGAGCACTCTTCTCTTCTCAGCCTTAATATGCAGGTTTTGTGTTAAACGTGTCTGAATGAAACAAAACACAACTCCAGTATGTTTGTAATGAGGAAACAACATACACACCAGAATATAGCCTAATATGAGCACTTTAAACTGCACATTGGCTGATGATTATATTTACACTTATGTTTTTTGTCCCAGATCTGAAGAGTGTCCCATCTGACCTGCCCTCTGACGTTGTAAGGATGGACTTGTCCAGGAACTCCATCAGAACCCTCAGGCCCAAACAGTTCCTGCTGTCCAAAGACCTTAAACTGCTCAATCTCAGCAGCAACAACCTGCAGAAGATCGACACAGGTAACAAGTGATAAAATATGCTCATATTCACTCTCTACATTTCGAGATTACTAATGTATTACCATCACCATATAGTGGAATGTAAGTATCCATTTATCTTTTTTCCGCTTGTCCGGGGCTGGGTTGGGGGGGCACCAGTCTAAGCAGGGACTCCCAAACTTCCCCTACTCCAGACACTTCCTCCAGCTCCTCACCCTATCTCTAAGGGAGCAACCAGCCACTCCTTTTGGCCTTTTGGTCAATACCCAAACCTCATGTCCATACGTGAGGGTAGGAGGGTGAATTGACTGGTAAATCGAGAGCTTTGCCTTTCGATTTGTCCGATAAAGCGACCTCAGCACTGCAGACATTGCACCCATCCACCTGTCAATCTTACACTCTATCCTCCAGTGTAAATATATGTCACTTTCATTCATTATTATTTGTATCTAGTTAGTTAATTAGTTAGTTAAACATAAATAAGAATAAGAAAACACCACTTGAATAAATTAAGTGTGTACATAAATATGCCACTTTTTTCTATTCAATATTTAATGCTGAGTGAATGTATTTATTTTAATAAGATCAATTTAATCTAAATTATTTGTTTTAAACCAACATGGACTATTACAAATGAAAACATGACATAATATTGATGTTGACTCAACATTTTCTTTTTTGATTTGATTTGTTTGCAATAACATTAACAACAGCTTTGACTTGTGCAAACACTGACATGTTTTTTCACTAATTCTGTCATCATCAAAATGAGTTAGTGGTGTTTACACAATTCCTCTGGAGAAAAAAAAAGATTATGTGAGAAATTACTTGGGGATAGACATGCTTTAGGTGTATTGACAGCTGCTGCAGGCTGCAGTCTTAACACACGTTTTTTGCTGACACGAGCTGTAATGTTAACAAAGCTAATCAACGCTCCCCTCTTTTTCTGTTCATGTCCATTTAAAACTGTCACACGCTCTAAGCCTGGCCTTTTGTTGTGTTCATAATGTTTCATTCTACAACATGTTGTAAACATCACAGGCGAAACCTGCTGTCCAAAAGCATGTAACTGACAATCTCACAAGAAAACATTTGGTCATTTGATGCAATTTGATCTATACATATTACTACTACACTTACTTACTACCTTCATCAAAACTGAAATACTTGGCAAGCCCAATATAGCCAGGCTGGCGCCATCTAGTGCCTCCACTCAATTTCATTTCTCTCCAGTGACTAGATCAGGAATCGAAATACACTAGACAGTTTGCAAGAACCCTGGAAGTGTGAATCCAGGCTCCAGCCAATCAGCGAAGAGCCATATATTCTGCGTTGGCAAAGATTCCCGAGATCGAGGATTTAAAGCCAGAACAAAGAGAATGTTTGGTGAATTTTATCAAGTGGAAAGACGTTATTGCCCTTCTTTCTACGTTATTTGGGAAAAGCTTAATATACCAGTTAGCCTCATTAGCGGCACATTACATATGTCATGACCAAATAGCAACAGTTGGTTAAATAAAAAAAGTACCTGCCTACCGTCGAGTGAACAAATCCTAACACTGCTAGGTCAGATAGTTTCCACAACGTGAAACCGGCTGATGAATCAGGCTAAGCACAATAGGCTGTAGTGTGTAAAATTTAGAGTCATTAAATCTTCTAATCTATGTACATGACCAAAGACTTAAGCACTAACCAACTAGATTACTACTACTACTACTACTACTACTACTACTAAATGGTAAATGGTCACATTTTTATACAGTGCATTTCTACCTTGAAGGCGCTCAAAGCATTTCACCTCAAGGAAGCACTTGAGGAGGGTTTAGTGTACTACTACTACTACTTTAAGAATAGTTGCTTCTCTACCTTAATGCTTCTCTTACTGCCACTACTACTACTACTTCTACTACTACTACTGCTACTACTGCTACTACTTTAAGAATAGCTGCTTCTCTACCTTAATGCTTCTCTTACTACTGCTGCCACTACTACTACTACTACTACTACTACTACTACTGCTGCTGCTGCTACTCCTACTACTACTACTACTACTACTACTACTACTACTACTGCTGCTGCTGCTACTACTACTACTATTACTATTACTATTACTACTACTGCTACAACTTTAAGAATAGCTACTTCTCTACATAATGCTTCTCTTACTACTGCCACTACTGCTACTACTACTGCTTCAAGATTTGCTGCTACTCTACCTCAGTGCTTTTATTAAACCAATTTACTCTTTCCAAATGTCAACTCCTCTGAACATCTGAACAGTGTACCCTTCTCTCCTGTCAGCTTTCTCACTTTCTGCAGTTACTGGCCTTTTTGTTACCTAAAAGTTTGGACTTTGAAGTTTAACCAATATGCCCCTTTTACATTACCCAGCCTAAACAAAGTAATCCATTATGGAGCTGTCAGGAATTCATTTATCCACTAAACACTGGGGAATTTCGTGTTCAAAAGATCAATTTCACCCAAGCTGCCTTCTTGCCCTGCATACTAATCTCGCTTCAATAAACTGGCACTTTCTTCCGTGTTCCTGTACAAACCCATTATATAAAACTGCCGACTCATTGCTCTTGCTGCTTAATGATCTCTGGGTTAATGTCTTCCTGGCCAAGAGGGAAATCCTTTACCAAACCTTGTACTTGTATTCATTACAGCTAGACACATGTAAACAATCTTCTGGGGTTCGTAACAAATTTTGTGTACTTCCTTAAAGCTTGTTAGGCCAACTGACATATGGACTCAATCACGCTACATCCTTTTAATCATACATATGAAAATGACTCTTGTTTATGTTGGAGTTTCATTCAAGAGAACACCAAGGGAAAGAGACACTGCAAAGACACTCATTTTGGAAGAAGCACTCAATTTTGTTACGTAAGTACAGATACAGGGGCAAAAACTTGTTCCTGTAAAAGTAAAATTATCACGTGAAAAAATCTACTTGAGTAAAACTCTTGAAGTACATGTGTAAAATGCACTTTAAGAGTAAAAAAATAAGTATTTTGCTGAGATTTTTAGAACAAGTAAAGCTTTAAATATAGTGCTTTTGATAAATAAATTTTAAAAAAGCAAATTTCAAGTGAATCAGTTGATTTCTTATTTTTTCTAGCCATTTTGGTGTTTGGTTTGCTCAAAGTTGGGACATTAACTCAAAATAAATGTGCTAAAAATAAGTCACAGCCATATCAGCGAAGTCTCAAGTCCTTTTTACTTTTCAGTCCAGATCTAAGATGTATTGGAGTAGAAAGTACAGGTACACCCGCTCAATGGAGTGAAGTAAAAGTAAAAAGCATCCACTGTCAACATTACTGTCAAAAGTAAAGTATAGATACGTAAAAAAAATTTCTCAAGTACTTTTTTACTTTTTTACCTTCCACTAATGCATTTGAAATACCCGTCATAGATGGTAACGTTGCTTGAATGCTATAGCCAGATGGTTCTACTTTCTAGCACCTAAAAGGTAATGGCCCAGTTGCATGTGATACCCAATTGAAAGTACTTTTCTCCAATTTTCCTATTTTTAACACTTAATTAGCGGTTAAAATTAAAGACGCTCATTTCAAACCCTTTTCATCTGTAACTACTGCTGGTTATCGTAAATGGTTAGGAAATGTTATCAACCAAACGTCTGAAGTTTCTCAGTGAGTCGTGTGATTGGAAAAACTGACATCTGAGAAAGAACATTTCCTTCAGGGATAGCGCGATATGGTTTTTGAGCCGATACTGATACCCAATATTTGTCTTGCTATTGTGGCCGATATTTGCCGATATTATGCTTTATTTATTTGGGGTATAAATTATAGAGCCCATATTACACTATTTTCTGATCTATGTTATAATGTGTTCCCTCATCACAACTGTGCCCAGAGTTGTGTTTTGTTTCATTCACACATGTTCCACCTTGTGATGTCATGTGGTTAAACAAGAAGTATGTCCAGTGTCCAGTGTGTTTTTAAAATGCACACACTCTCACTAGAATAATCTGGATAATTTCAGCTCTCGAGTTACACATTTCTACTGAGCTAAAGGTAAAAGGAGCTGTTAATTTAAAACTACTTGACATCACAAATTGGAACAGAGCATTTGAGCTTTGGACAAACTAATAATAAAGGGTTACTGAAACGTGTGAATGAAACTGCAGGTATATTTTGCAAAGATAACAGCATTATAACATGACTTAAACTCACAAGAGTCAATTTTGTGTAATATAAGACCTTTAATATTTAGATAAGGGGTGTCAAACTCAAATTCAGAGAGGACCAAAATAAAAAACTGGGACTAAGTCATTAGCCAAACTAAATATTGAAAATTTTCAATAACATCTGCATGTTTTCTCTTCTTTCAAGATACGTAAAGTTAAACCTTTTCTTATTAAAATAAATGTTTAATAATAGTTTTGCTTAAACATTGAATCCAGAACAAGCACAGTATAAAATTATATCAAAATTTTAAATAAATAATGTCTCTATAGCCCGTCTGCAGCTGGCAGGCTCTAATACATATTTGATATAATATTGTGGACCAAATATAATTATATCGCAGGCCAAATTTGGTCCCTGGACTTGAGTTTGACGTGAGTTTGATTTAGATGAATCTGATACACTGAGCACAAACTGGGAATGACACATGAGACTAGGGCAGTGCAGATAAAAAAAATTGGTGCCAAATACAGAATAAAAAAATAAAAAAAGATACCGATATCTGGGATTATTCTATTAGTGATAATCAGTATACCATCCCTAATTTCTTTTACCAGAACCCAAAGCATATAACTATACCCAGTCCATGTTTTATTCATATTGTACAAATAAAAACATTAAATGACAAATTCTGTAGAAATCTATAAATACAATAAAAAAGCATGACTTCCTTCATGGCCTTTTCTGAATTGAATTTCATTGTTTTGTTCTTGGTAATTCCCACATTCAGACAATATAATTACTCAGCTCTTTATTTTGATGCGTCTTTTATTTTCATTCTTGCCTTTTACCCTGAGGAATTGCAAGGGCTTATCCAGCTGTTTTTGGTTGGATTATACTCAATTGCTGACTAATGACAAACTCCCCCCCACACACACACAGACACACTCACAGACAGACACACACACACACACGTATCCACCAAGAGTGTTATTAAACTGGCTTTTCATTGTGGAGGCAGCTATAAATGATGGACAAAATGATAAGATTTCAGGGTCAACACTGGTCAGAGGCAGCAACACTCATTAATCAAGTTTGTAAAGGCAGAGTTACTAAAATCCAATGAGGTTCATTTGGTCTTTGGATAATTTATTCTTTTTTCTGATTCTTTTTCAGACCAGAGTTTAATTTGTTTTAATACCTGACAGTTCACAGTTCAGAGTGAACTGTCAGGTATGAAAACAGGTATGAAAACAAACTAAACTAAACTAAAGGGGTAGCAAAACACAGAAATACATGTGTAGTTAATGTGTGAAGACTCCTTTGGATTACAAGCGGAAACATGACAATGCAGTGAGCAATGTACATTTAGCAAGAGAGAATTACTAATAGGTATATAAGCAAAAATTTTACTATTAGTTTGAAGTTTATATATGACAAAACCTGTTGTAATGTAAATTAATTAATCATATAACCCATAATACTGCACATAGCTGTTTCTTTCTTTAACTAAGAAGGAGAATTCACAGTAATTTTAAGGGCATTTTAGGGCAATTGATTAAAACAAGACAATGCATCTTTCGCAATTTAAACTTTGGCTTGAAAAAGACATTAGATCAGTGTTCAGTGTACAGTGTTACCATGTTTGGCATAATTTTCCCGCCCAATTGCTTTTCACAGAAACACGTGTTAAAGGGATTTCAGTCAGGATTTTACCAGCCAATTATTAATTAGCTTCACTGAAATGGCAGGCCTGTTGTTTGAGTCACAGTCTGACACAAACAGAGGATTGGTTTGCATTTCAAGACAAATCTACGGTAGAGGTTGGCAATATTAGAAAAAAAATCTTATAGTATTATTATTTTTTTTAATATAATACCAAAACAGAGACAAAATAATAGTAGTCCAATATTTGTCAGTTATCAGTTATGTAGTTTCTGTACCAGTTTTAGTATAAATTAGTCTGGGTATCTTTTCTGACAACCATATTCTGAAGCTTTTTTGCAAACAGGAATCAAGTATAAACCCATGCAAAACTGTAGTCACGCTTTAATGTATGTCTCTTTTCCTCTCTTCTTGCATTGTTCTTACATTGCATCTTGTGTACGATCTTTCTATTATCCTTAGTTCATCTACCCTCCACAGCAGCAGCAGCACGTGTTACGGATGCCTTTTTAGTGTTGTCATAGCGACAGCCACGTCCTCTCTGTTTATTTGTTGTGGAGACAGAAGCCAAGATCCACACAGAGGAGGGGGCTGGCCCGGGGGCAGATCCATCATTTATCACCTCTGCTGAAGGCTCGTGGCACTCCTCCTTCACAACGAATTTAGAGCTGGAAAAACTGATGAGCTGTGCCAGGGTTTGGGATTTGTTACTCTGCTGTGAGAGATTAGCAGCATGCCCCAGACTGAAACTATAGACTGATGAGGGTCTGACTATTTCAGAAATGTTATGACACAAACTCTCAAATTGGCATCTCTAAGATGTTTAATTTAAAAAGTTAAAAAGTTGGGTTGTGTAATGTTTGCATAAAAGTGTGGTCTTTTTCAGTCATTTTTCAGTCATTTCTCATCTTTGTCAGAGACTCTAAATGAATACTTTAGTTAGAATAGTTTTCGAATTGAATATCTGCTTTATTTATAACATATTCTGGTACATGGTTGAATCAGCGTACTGCAGTCTGAATACTTAGAATACTTTGACTCAGGGTTGCATTAAATTATAGTGCAAACACACAACATAGGATTAAAAACAGCTTTATATTTGTTTCACCGTTGGCTCTGTATTTATTTATCACTGATCAAAGAAGGAAAAAATCACAAATGCACTCACCACAAAATGTAAAAATTCCTTTGATCTTAGCAAAGTAACTGTATTCTCAATAACAATAAATGAAAACGTAACTCTACCAGAATACTCAAAATTATTCAGAATATGTATTTTTGGTACATTTGTCATTGTTAATGTTTGAATTATAGGGTTGACTTTTTTTTTTTTTTTACTTTAAAGGTGTACCATGTAACATTCCTGCGAGAGGGTCTGCCACCTGCTTGTCTCTGTGGAGGTGTTATCGCTTTGCATGAAATGTTCATTAAACTACATTAAACTAACATTAAACTAATCTAATTTCATTGGCTGAGCAGGAGACTCCAGGCCATGTTACAAGTCAGATCCATAGAGAGGAAAGCCTCCAGTGTGAATGCATGTTTTTCAAGGTATTTTTAAGCAATAAAAATGAGCTTAATGGTTTACTAGTTTAATTGTGAAGCATACGCAAAGCAATAACATCTCCATAGAGTCAGACTGGTTACATACCTCACCATTAAGGCTTGGTAAAGTCTTGGCACCTCTCTCGTCACAAAAATGAGTCTGGTTTGTCAAATGTTTTAGAACTCTGCCAGTTTCAGAAATGATTATTTTCTCTTGCTCATTTAGTCCATGGAATTCTTTCATGTGGAGACAAAAACCTGTTTACCGATCTCCCATTACAACTGAAACAAGCAAAATCAAAGTTAACCGCGTTGTTTGTAAATCACCCAGATATTTTGGATGTTATTGGTCACGGTGCCCTTCGAAACCAAAACAGTAGCTGGAAGTAGAAACTAGACTTGTATTTTGAACGAGAAAACCTGAGATTAACACTACTGACTCCTTTTTCTTCTATCTCTGTCACTGATGCAATTTTACCATTACTTTTACTCCAAATGGACAGTGCGGAGGAGGGAGCGTGTCTCTAGAGTGCTCTATGTCCTTCCTGTAATTTCTTCAAACATTTGCCCATCTTTGTAGTCCACTGGCTCCTCCTCCTTCCTCTCCTGCCTCCCTTCTCCTCTTCCGCCTTAACATCAAAGCTGAGCCCAAGGCCAGTGGACAGCATGGAGTCCTCCCTATACAACTCAATCTGCTAACGACGTCTGCAAATGATTAGACCCTGGGTAAACACGTGTGTTGTGTAGGTGAATGTAAAGACTGTAAAGGTGGTTAGTGTGGTCATTGCTCATATAGGCTCTTAAAATGCTCCAAAAACAGCTGTGTATCATTATTATGTCTTATTTAAGCGAAGTGAAGGCCTTGACAAAGAGCAGGTGTAGCTAAACATGGTGTGTAGGTTATGTGTGAAGGCTCCAGGCAGAAACTATACAGTCAACAGTGTAGCAACTTATTGATCTGAGTCAGTTGATTTTGCTATTAGTCTTTAAAATATTCATACAAAATGAGTTTCCTCCATGGAGTGGTTGGGCATTCCTTTAGAGATAAGGTGAGGAGCTCAGTCACAGCAGGAACTCGGAGTAGAGTCACTGATCCTCCATGTTGAAAGGACACGTCCCACTGGTAGGAGGCCCCGAGGAAGACTCAGGGACTGTGTCTCTCGGCTAGCCTGGGAATGCCTTGGGGTCTTGCCGGAGGAGCTGGAGTAAGTGTCTGGGATGAAGGAAGGCTGGGAGCACCTTCTTAAACTGCTGCTCCCATTTAGTTTAACTCCCTGATTAGTTTAACTCACTGATAATATCTTATCCCTGGATGATTCAAACTCATTTAATGGTGGGTAGTTTACTTGTTTATTTATTTATGTGATCCCCATTCTTCCCGGAGTCCAAAACTATGTACAAATAGTTTTTAAATGAATAATCACCAAACTCCAAACTACTAACTTACTTCAAATAAAATACAAAATAGATAAAATGGTACAATGGTGTATAAAACTGTCCACAGATGTGTCCCATGTCTAAAACTCTCTCTTCTCTTCACAGCTGCTTTTGCCGGTCAGCTCTACCTCCGTGAGCTGGACCTGTCCAACAACAGCCTGCATTATTTCCAGTACGGCGTTCTGGAGGACTTGTACTTCCTCCGAACACTCTCCCTGGGCCAGAACCCCTGGATCTGTGACTACAATATCCACTACCTGGTCTACTGGCTCAAGCACCACCCCGGGGTCTCCTACTCCGGCCTGGTGTGCTCAGAACCGCCTGAGTTCCGAGGGTGGAGAGTCGAGGATTATGTCAAGACCTACAACGGGGAGTGTCCCAAAGATAAGCAGACGGATTTGGACATAAGCCCCGGGGTGCAGGGGGGAGAGAATGAGGCGCAGGAGGTGGTGGGGGAGACAGAGGGGCAAGGCCTACCACGACCCATCCAAGAGAAACCAAACAGGATTGAGATTATTAGATTAAATTAGATACGGAGAAATTAGAATCTTTCAATGTTCAAATTTTGACAGTGGGCAATGATGTTGCCTTAGAACGGTGTTTCTCAAAATTTTAAGGGCATACTTCTCAAAATAACCATGTGGTCAACTCGGGACCCCCACGATATAATGAAAATGTTTGCAAGTTACATTTTAGTGGCAAAAACTCTTCAACTTTCATTTGAGTAGTTCACTGTGTTATTTGATCTGATTCTCTACAAAATATTTAGTTCACGGTGCGTTATTTATTCACTCCACACTTCATGGTGATAAGTTACTCATAGTTACTCATAGCCACAGCTGCCTTTGGGTAAACAAAGAGAAACAATCGACCTCTCCAACACACTCACACCATATTTAAAGTGGTAGTTGTGGGTGAAGTGTCTTGCATGACGACACAGTGACAGTTTCCATTAGGGCCACTGCTCCTCCACTATTTTCAGTGGTCTCCTACTGAAGTACTAACCAGGCCAGCCTTGCTTAGCTTCTGAAATTTGACAAAATTGGGCACTGACAAGCAGGCATGACAACTAATAATGAAATAATGTTGGAAGTGAGATTTGTTTTAACAGCTAAAACCTCCTCTAACAATATTGTACCACTTTAAATGAACAGAAATCAGTAGGGCTCTCTCATGGTTCATACAGTTCAACCAGGACTAACCCAAAACTCATTATGTTGACATATTACAAAAGACTCTGTGGAGCCCTTACCACAGTTTGAAAAGCCACCTGAGATACTGTTAATGTGTAAGTTAGGTTTTCTTTTCTGTAGACCTTTTCCCATTTGAGTCTGTATCAGATATTTGAACTTTCTTCTTTACGTTGTTTTTAATCTTTGTGAACTGCAGGTGCTGCTTTTGCTACAACGAAATTAGAATTGAATTCAGGAAATTTTGAGATAGCATTTTTGTTACTGATAAGGTACAGTAGTTTTTGGTCTTGTTTAATATGTTATAATATTGTTGCTCATTTTCTGGGAAATAAAATGGCGTCTATTTTTTCTGAAAGTGTGTTTTGCTCATTCATGATACACCTCGTATTGTCAGCTGCTGCAAAAGTGTTATTCTAGATCTCCAAAATACCAAGTTATGGAAGACTTGGGAAGAATACTTTGAAAATGCATTTATGTACAGAATATCTGCATAAAATTTTATTTTATAACATATTTTGTTATATATCAGAGTACTGTGTTCTGAACAGAATACTTTCACATTGCATTTCATGATATTATAGTTGAAAAACATGACATATTGCATTTAAACAACTTTACGTTTTTTCACCATTTGTTATTTGTCATTTATTTATCACTGATTAGAGAAGGGAAGCACTCATCACAAGAGCAAAACAATCCGTTTACTCTTCCTCTTATCTGCAACATTTTGTGGATCCATTCAAAAGATATAATTTTATAATTAATTACCAATTGCTATGGCAACCGCCCAAAGTTTTCATCTTTCGAGAAGTTCGAGGCCCAACTTTTGTAATTAAATACTGTGACATATTCCTTTGTTCTGAATACCTCCAAATGAAAATGTAACTATACCGATGTAACTCACAATTGGTATAAGTAGACGTTCCTATTTCCCAAAGTCCCGTGTCCCAGTAGATTTATCCAAAACCGGTGATTTGTCCCAGTTTTATACAAGAAATGTCCCAGTTGCCCCTGTGTTTGACCAATCTGATACCAGCCAACAGTAAAGAGAGGAATATATTTAAATTTGTTTAGCTAAAACCATGTTGAAAACTATGCACCTACAGAAGTCCCTCAGATTTTTTACTGACTGTGAGTTGAGAATGGACAATGTTGCGCTCTTTTTATTTATACCAACCATCCCAACCTGGATGTGTCCCAGTTTTTACATTTTAAAATCTGGTCACTCTATCCAAAATCTGTATTTTCAGCACATGCATTTAGTTAGACCAACTTCTTCAGTCTGTCTATAGGTCAAATGGAGAAACTATTGCTTATAATCAATGATGATGCAAACCGCAGTGAACCATGCATCATTTAAACTGGCATTGACTACAAATTACATTTTAGAATAAGACTATTTTATAAGCATTATCTACTTTGGCAAGGCACTGTACGTTTTGAAGCCAGTTCACAATAGCTTTCCTGTTCATAACAAAATATCTGAGGGTCTTTTTAATAAATTAGTTTCATGGCATGGGTTCAGTTGGTATTTCATGCCAGTATCTATTTTGATACATTGGCAGCGGTAGTCAAATTGTTCGCCAGTAAAAACAGAATAAATAGGGAAACGGATCAACTCTCTCTGTGGCCCAGGATTAATTTAATAACAACCAGATTGTTTAAAAATACATTTCTGCCAACGGAGCTTTTACTGTATCCCCTATAATATCCATGCATTCTGGTTGATAAAAGTGAACAAAGTTGGGACAGATGATGATTCAGCACGTGTTTCTTATCAAAAGTAAAGCCAAGTCACCTTTAACCATTTTAAATAACTGTATCTTTAATGTCAGAGAGAAAAAAGTGGTACAGAACAAATGTAATAGCACAACGCCATCTGCTGGTCAAAGCTGGTTTCTGCAGGCTCTTCACATTAAATCGAAAAAACAATACAACGCGGAATCATTGGCAATAATTCACAGTCTTTAGGCAATGTGACATTCAGGGTTTATGAAGCAAGGAGCGGGTGAGTAAGCAGAAAGTCAGGTCACTTAGCGAAAACAACATTTTCTGTATAACATTAAAAGTGCACTGTCCATAGAGATGTTATTGCTTTGTCTGGAATGTTTCGCAGTATGGCTTTCTATCTTCACGGAGACCAAACCGGACCAAGTGACAGGTCAGATCTGTGGAGAGGCGACACTGCTCACAGGCAGAATGTAGGCACTTTTGAGCCATAAAACCACCAGTAATTGAAAAAATTTAAGGTAGAGCTGTCATATTGCAGAACATTCCAGGCAGAGAAGTGACATATCCATAGAAACAAGCAGGTGACGGACCCCTAACCAGAAAGTTACATAGTGCACCTTGCAGATTTATATTAGCAGGCATAGTTTGGCTTCAATATGTTTGGGGACGTTAAACATTATAGCGGCTTTTTAAATGGCACTGAGGAAACTGAGGCGAAGTAGAAAAGCAGTTGAGAGGTTGCATTCTATTTTGTTCATCAAAAAAAAAAAAAAAAAAAAAAAAAAAGGAAGGAAGCCCCAGTATGAGAGTTACGCTTAGATATATACAATGTTAACAGTATTTGCCAGTTTGATTGCTTTATGTAGATGTCCTTGAGATGTTTTACCATAACATATTTAAAGGTGCATTACGTGACTTTTCTGGGGGAGGTCCCACTATCTGCTTGTCTGTAATGAGATGTTATTGCTTTGCTTAGAATGCACTACAGTATTAGACAGGCTGGCCCCCCCTAGTGCCTCCGCTCAATTTCATTTCTCTCCAGCAACTAGGTCAGGAATTAAAATACAATAGAATGTTCGCAAAAACTCCGGAAGTGCAAGTTCAGGCACCAGCCAATCAGCAAAGAGTGATATATTCAGTGTTGTCAACGATTCCCGAGATCGATGATTCAAAGCTGGAATAAAGAGAATGTTTGGTGAATTTCATCAAGGGGAAAGACATTATTTCTTTGGGAAAAGCTTAATATACCAGTTAGTCCTGTCAGCAGCACATTACACACATCACCACCAAATAGCAGCGATTGGTTAAATAATAAAAAGTACCCGCCTACCGTCAAGCGCACGAAATCTAAGGTCAGGTCAGATGGTTTGTACGAAGTGAAACGAAGTAAAACCGGCTGATGCATCAGGCTACAACAGTAACAGTACAACTAGGTGACACCATGAGGCAAAGTTAGAGGTCAGATCTGTGGAGAGGCAACCCCAATCATAGTAAGAGCACTTTTGATGAAAGTTTTTGAGCAATAGAAACAAATATAATTGTAAAAAGTAGACATGTTTAATGTGTAATAAGCTTGTAATGTGTAACATTACAAGCAAAGCAATAACATCGATCATAGAGACAAGCAGGTGACAAAACTATAGAAAAGTTACATTGTGCACTTAGACTTATTATAATTATTTCAAGTCATATTTCCAGTTTTTGAATGTGAGAGAAGGTTTGATGAAAAGTACAACTGACATAAAAATGTGTGAAATAATAATAAAAACTCCCTAAATACCTTATGACACTTTCTTTGCGTTTAAATGTGAGATGTATTGGAGAGGGACTTTCAGGCTCATATAATAAATAAAAGTGACCTCATATAATTTTACCCTACAGTGATTACACCCATCGCCACTCAGCGGTCTCTCCAAAGGCATGATGGGTAAACAGACCAGCACTCAAGGTTTAATTCAGAGTCCTTGTAGCAGCAGCACAAACAAAACAATCCTTCATGGTGCCAGGTCATCTGTCACAGAGGACTTCTTTGAATCCACTGATCAATGACAAGGGTAGAATGACAAATAGGAAACACAAGTTATTGTTGTATAGATAGTAGCAGACTTTGTAGTAATTATTTTTAAATATATTTCACTCAGGTATTTTTTTTTTATAATTTAACATTTATTTAAAGGGCTCATATTATACTATTTTCTGATCTACAGTATAATGTTATTTCTTCATCAAAAACATATCTGTAGTTGTGTTTTGTTTCATTTACACATGTTTAACTCACAAATCCTGCATATTTAGGCTCAGTTCTTCTCTCAAACAGACTACACATGTATATCTATACTTTGTTTCATTCGTACATGTTAAAGTAATAGTGCTGGGTATCATTAAGAAGTTGCTGATACGAAACATATCTTGATACCGTGCACTTTCGATTCGATACAATATATTTCAAATCAATTCGATACAGTTCACCACTACCTGTGCAGAAGTTCATATGAAACACATCAAAACAGTGAAAATATCAAATGTGTTGCATAAATGAGTTTCTTTCCTCTGATCAAGCAACAAAACTGTAGCTCTGTAACAAAATAATTTGGTAAAATATGCCAAAAAATACTCTTGGTGATATATATACATCAGCCCATGATATCGATACTGCATCATCACATTAAATGATACGATATATCGATATTTTGATATTTTTGCACAGCCCTAATAAGTAAACCTTTATTATCAGTCTGTCTACATCTCCAAAGCTCAGAATGCTCTGTTCCACCTCATGATGTCATCTGGTAAAATATAAATTGCTCTGCTTTGTTTTTAAACTCAATATACCTTAACTAGAATAATTTCTAGTCTCAGCTGAACAAATCTGACATGACATCACAAGGTGGATCAGAGCATTTTGAGCTTTGAAGATGCAGACAGACTAATAATAAGGTGTTACTCAAACATGTGTGGATAAAACAAAATATAACTCCAGGTATGTTTTTGAGGTCCCATTGAGATTCAGAGATCTCATTTTCAAAGGAGTCCTCCCCAACAGGCATCAACAACAGCCACACAAAAAATATTTAATATACCAATTATGACATTTCCTATAAGCAGGTGTAATTTTTAAGACAGTGATCAGTATTTACTTACTTACTAGTTGTAGTAAGTAATTTGGCATTTCATAACAATTTGTGGCAGCTATTTCACCAATTGGGTTTAATATTTTAAGAGATGCAATCAGTCATGTTCATGTTCTACACTATAACAAAATAATTTTCATTGCCAAGACTTTTTTGATGTATACATTCCCCGTTTTTTCTAGTCTGTACTGTAGTAGTGGTAGTAGTAGTAGTAGTAGTAGTAGTAGTAGTAGTAAATTCTACATTGTAAGTACATTGTAAGGCAGTTATTTCAGTTTTCCACTGCTTTGTGGAACAATGTCACTATCACTAAGCATTCTCCTTTTTACCAGAAAGTTGCAGGATCAAATCTCGTGCAACTTGAGATGCAAATTCATTCACTGTCCATTACTCACTCCAGTTAGATGTAGCTGGCTGTGATGGGAAGGGCATCTGAAGTAAAAATCTTCCAAATCACCATGCTGAATAAATAAATAACGGTTGTAGTTCAGTTTCATTTTGCATAGTGTTGACGCCAAAGTGAATAAGTCTCCATTCACTTCGATGTAAATCAGATTTTATATGCTGGGTATTTTTGGCCATTTAACACTTTACTTTAAAGGTGCACTGTGGAGGCTTCGTCAAATGATTTTCTTTATGGAGATGTTATTGCTTTGTCTGAAATGTTTCCCAGTATGGCATTAAACCTTTCTATCTTCATGGTGACCAAACCAGATCAAGTTACAGGTCAGATCTGTGGAGAAGCAACTCCGGTCACAGTCAGAATGCCTGTTTTTCTAGATGTTTTTTAGCAACCAAACCACCTGTAATTCAGTAAATGTACGATTGAGCTGTTTAATGTCATATTGTGATACATCTAAGCAGAGTAATGACATATCCATAAAAACAAGAAGGTGGTGGATCCTCAACCGAAAATTTACACAGTGTACCTTTAAGATTGTATGGTAAGAAAATTACATTACTTTTGTAGCCTCTGCTCAATACTTTCTCATTGCCTTTCAGTTTAGTTCAGGAAGTTGCAAAGTGTTTAGTTCACATACTAAAATCCACTAAGATCTTGTTTGTCTCTCCATCCATTTCTATCAGTCTTGCTTTATCTGTTGAATCTCTGTTTTTCAGCAACATGACTTCTTCTCTTGCGCTGTGTAGGAGGGTAATCCAATGTCTATAGGTTTGGAGTTGGTCCTGAGCAGAGAATGAGGCATGATCATCCCGTCCCCATGCTGGACATTCAGGCCATTGCGGGACATCAGCTCTCTGGCTATCATCATGAAGGCTTCGTCTACATTCTGGCTCTCCTTTAAAGAAAAAACAGGGAAAAGGCAGAGATTAAATTTGTTTTGAGAGAGGAAGAAAGATGAATAGTTGAATTTAAAATGACAGGGTTTATACATTTGGTTTTGCTACGCGTTTGTGCTAGATATAGGTACTAGATATAGGGACAGAGCAATTTTCTCAGTGAAATGTTTATGGTAACGTAGGGTTTATAAGTATCAAAGTTGAAGTTACCTCATAGTTAAGAGGTAGATATTATTGTCACAGTAATAAAATTTCAAACTTGATGTGCAAAAGGCTCGATACTCAATACCAATTTCAACACCACAATGGTAATAAAAGAACACTAAATAAACAATAGAATGCATTTTGGAACTAAAGGTAGTTTCTTAGGTCTTACAATAATTCTGAAATACAAAAAAAAAAACATTTCTAAAATTATTCTAGTCTATATGTAGTTTTGATTCTTCATTTCTTGTTTTTTTGTTTTCTTTTGTTTTAGTTTTTTGTTTTTATCAGTTCAGTATCTAGGATGTATTGATTTTTTTGAAAACCCTAATAGATAGATAAATAGATAGATAGATTAATGGATTATAATATAATTTAATCAGAGTCATAATTAGTTACAAAGCTCTTTATAAAGCACAGGTGATTTCTCATTTACATTTTCAAGCCAAATAGCCAATCATCAACAAAAATGTGTATATTATTATAAAACTACAGGTATTTTTTAAAATCATTGTTATGCATTTTACTATTTTACCTTTGCAGAGGTCTCTAAAGCTGCTAATAATCCTTTGTCTTTTGCCAGAGCACAAGCCTCTTGAAACCGGACCTGTCTCTCCTCCTCCAGGTCACATTTGTTTCCTAAAGTGGAAATGAAATTCACCAAAGATAATGAAACTCAAATACCCCTGTTTGAACTGTGGAAATGTCATTAATAATGAATGAGAGATGGCTTTATAACAGTAACATCATACCACAAATTCCACATAATTACATTTTAATTTGAAAAGTACCAAACAAAACAATTAAAGCTTCTAACAACAGCATAATAATCTACATGTTAAATACAGCAAATCGTCACACCTTGCAGTTAAACAGATCATGTATTTAATGACAGGGCAAAACAGTAGTTATCTTGGAATGTTAAATAACTTCACACACAATTTGCCAAATATATTCTATATAAAGTGTCTACGCAACTTTATCTATCTTGTTAGATATGTCCAACAAGCAATGGCTTTTGACTATCTTGGGCACCCTCACCAATGGTCTCCTATTGAATTACTTACATACTATAACTGGACCAGATCTTGGAGTTCAAATCTCAACATTTATTATAACTTTATGAATTATTCTTCACAATAATTAGTACTAATTGATTATAATAATGTGCATTGTGCCGTGCAATGTAGGACTACTTAAAGGTTCTAGTCAGTTCTAATGTAGTGTTCTCCTTAAAAATAAACCTGGAGTTGTGTTTTGTTTCATTCACACATGTTTGAATAAGCCTTTATTATTAGTCTGTCTACATCTCCCATGCTCAAAACGCTCTGTTCCACCTTGTGATGTCATGTAGTGGTGGTTTTCAACAGCTACGTTTCACCTTTTGTTCAGTAAAGATTGGCAGTTCTAGAGCTGAAATTATCCAGATGATTCCAGTGAATGTGTATGGAGTTTAAAAACACAGTGGAGCACTTCCTGTATTACCTCATGACATCAGATGGAAGAGAGCTTTTTCGAGAGCTTGTTTGAGGGAAGAACTCAACCTAAATTTGCAGAATTTGTGTTATAAACATGTGTGAATGAAACAAAACAAAAGTGCAGGTATGTTTTTTATGAGAAAACAACATCATAACAAATTAGACAATAGTGTAACATGGGCCCCTTGAAAACTTGTGACATATTGTAGCTGACTATTCCTGCTGTTTGAGTTATAAGCTATGATGTCCAGGATGGGCTAGCATAAGTGTATGTTTATTAAATTATGTTAAACTGTCTTGAACAAAAAATAATAAAAATTTAAAATTAAATAAACAAAATGCATACATCGTACTGCTTCCTTCAATGCACTTCTGGTTAGATACAAAACTGCATTTGGTTGTACCAGAGGTGGGACCAAGTCGTCATTTTGCAAGTCTTTGACCTCAAGTCCGAGTCAAGTCTCAACTCAAAGACAGGCAAGTCCAAGTCAAGTTTAGAGTCACTGACCAGTAAGTCCAAGTCAAGTCCAAGTCATCTGCTTTGAGCTTTCAAGTCATTTTAAGTCTTTAAACCAAAGATTTTTGCAATTTATATGACTTTTAACATAAATTGTACTTATAAAGTCATAGTATATTTATATATGAGTATTTATAGAGTATGTAAGAGTTGTAGAAATTGAAATATTTTCTTTTTAAGTGTCTTGACAAGATCTTAGTGAAGATCTTATTTCGTTCTGTTCTGACGAATAGAACAAATTCAGATTTAAAAGTGCTTCTCAAGTCTTCTCAAATCACAGACCTCCAGTAAGAGTCAAGTCCCAAGTCTTAGTCCATTTTTATCAAGTCAAGTCTCAAGTCCTAAAAATAGTGACTCAAGTCCGACTCAAGTCCAAGTCACGACTTGCAAGTCCCCACCTCTGGGTTGTACTGGATAAGTCTGGCAATAAAGTCTAATCTTATCTTATACTGATTATGGTTTGTGAGGAAGGAGGTTAGCCTATGATAATGTATATTCATAGGAAGCCAAAATTCACCTATTAGCGCCATGACAACGTTGGCTGCTCCGTACAGCTCCACCTCTTTGATCCAGTGCTGCACAGACTCAAAAGTCCCTCTCCGCGTGATGTCGTAGGCGATCAAAGCAGCGTGCGCACTACGATAATAACTCTGAGTGATGGTCCTGAACCTCTCCTGACCTGCGGTATCCCAAACCTGCATCTGGAGAGAGGGAGGAAGAAATTACAACATCATAATTGTGCTAGTAAATGTTGATACTTTGCAGTGACTGGGGGTGTGCTATATATCTCTAATGGTGGAATGTGGAAAGTGTTAACATGGTGACACATTGCGCACATTTGCAAATACAGCCAAATAAGTTTTAAGATAGTCAGAAAACTCAAGAAAAAATACAAAATGGATTTAAACAGTAGTTTTCCAGGAGCCTGTGATCAATATGAGCGTTCGTGATCCTCTTTAAAGGGACAGTCTGAAATTTTGGACATAAGACCTAATTTTCTAGTAAGCCAGAGTGTTGGAGACGTGTGGAGACACTTTTTTAAAATATTCCATCCAGTCCTTGTATTTGCAGAGGTTGCTGGTGCTAGGTTAGTGCATGTCAATGGCCATAGTTATCCTGCCACTAAAAACAGTCTTACCCACTCCACAAAACAAGAAAATCTATTATTACGCCAGAGTGTCGATGTAAATGTCTGTGTTGATAGACCAATGTTTGAAATAAAACTAACCTTGCATCGCGTGAATCGTCAAATGTTGAGGGACTATTTTCTCAGCAGCAGTGAAATTTTACTTTGCTGGTAAGATAGGTGCTAGGTGATATCAGTCCGCCGCTGCCAAGCTTTCTATCAGGAAATACAACTCGCTGCTGCTGCTCAGACATAAATCCTTCAAATGCAAGGATGGTTTTACTTCTAAAATTATTCTATCATCACAGACATTCACATCGACAGTCTGGCGTTTTAATAGATTTGCTTCAGGTGCTTTGTGGAGTGGGTGAGACTGTTTTTAGTGGCAGGCTAACTATGGCCATTGACATGCACTAGCCTAGCACCAGCAGCCTCTGCCAATAAGAGGACTGGATGGAATATTTTTAAAAAGTGTCTCCACACGTCTCCAACACTCTGGCTAACTAGGAAATGAGGTCCTATATCCCAAATTCCAGACTGTCCCTTTAAGTGTTTGATTTTCGACATAAAAGGTGAAAGTCACGAACTGAAACACTGTTGGCTAATGCTAGCTGGCTTGCAACTGTAATTAACTGTAATGTTACGTGAGAGGAACTTGTTTGACAGCACAAATCAGCTCACCCGTTGTAATTCCAACTAATTCATTTCTTCATGGTCAGATTGTGTTAAAATAAAGCTCAGATTAGAGTCTAACAAAGCCGCAGACAGAGCATGCCTACAGTTAGCATCACACCCCCAGGGAATGTTTATGACATCAGCTGCAAAGTATCAATGAAAAAAAAGCAACATTTGTGGGTTATGGTACTCAAAAGTTGTGCTGGTTTTGAGTTGACCCAGTTTATGCATGCTTAATCTGGTAAAGACCTAGTTTAGTCCCTCCGTTCATCTTTAATCAGAGCTGTAACTGAGGAGTCAAACAGAAGTGATAGTATTTTTTGTTGATAAAAAACTGTTGCACAGAAACTAGTTACTGTGTCATGTTTGTACTTTTTGTAGAAAAAAAAAGACACAGATAGAATACAGATTACAGAAAAAGGGTTTGAAAGCATGTAGCATATTACTCTGATAGTCTGCTAGTGGTGTGCAAAAATATTGAAAAATAAATATTGTTTAATGTGATGATACAGTATCAATATCATGGTCTGCTGTATCGATATATCACCAATAGTGTTTTTTAATATATTTTACTAAATTATTTTGTTACAGCGCTACAGTTTTGTTGCTTGTTGCAACACATTTGACATTTTAACTGTTTTGATGATTAAAATGTTTGTGTTTCATATTAACTTTGCACAAGAAATTATTTAAGAAAGACTTTTAATATCATAGCCATCATTTATACATTATTTTTTATTGAACTGTATTGAATCAATTTGAAATATATCGTATTGAATCGAAAGTGCACTGTATTGTGATATGTATCTTATCATGGCCTGTGTATCGAGGTATGTATCGTATCGGCAACTTCGTAATGATACCCAGCCCTACAGTCTGCATACACTCCTTTTATTTGTGCAGTGAAATAAAAGAAAATCAATTGTGCACATGTGGAAAATTGTAAGATTTTTGTGTTTACATTAAACTCAGAAAAAAACCCAGAGTTAAGTGCAGGTAAATTACATCTAGTCCAATGAAAGCAAAACTATAAACTAAATAATACAAATAAATAAAACATTGTTAGGTCAAAAATGTGAATATAACTGCAGAATTTTAAGAATGTTGGGCCCAATCGTGTTCTATCTTGTTTCATCTTGTGGAAAATGTGTTTTGTCTCACCCATAATTTCAATAATTGGGGATAATCACAATTAATTACTCTAACAATTGCTGCAGCCTTAAATCCAGGAGCACTCTCTCTGTGGGAATATGTATGCTGAACTGTACAGTTCTATGTGGATCTCTGTTGGGAGACGTCCCAAAGCAACAACACGTTCCCATGTTAACAGCTCTCACAGGAACAGACTCACAAGCTTGTTTAGCTATACCACAAAAAAACTGATCAATCAGAACTAGTAAGAGACCACATGACAATAAAATGTAAGTATTTATTTAAGTGCTTTGTGGCATCAAAACTGGAATTGAGCTTTCTCTTAATACCCTATCAAAACTCCATTTCAACATTTAGTATTGTAACACTACTCTCCACCATTGCACTAAACAATGTCTGATTGTCTGACCTCTCCACTGATGCAATCTTCCATCTTACAGTACGCTTCACTTGTATTGTAGGAGATAATGGGAGAAAGCTTTTGTCCTGAGGCGATCTAACTAGTTTTTCTGCACACAAGACAATGAAGTGACAGCATCAGCAGTTATCAAATGTTGTGTTTGCTCTCTTTTACTTACTCTTCCTCGTCACAGACAGGTTTCTTGGAGAAACTATGGGGACCCTTATTTTACTACCTGCTTATTAGATACAGGTCTACATTCAGATACAATTCAACATTCATGCAATACTCCAATCAATCAGTCTTTTTGTTTTTATATTTACTACGGATGTAACAATATCCGAAATATCATGATGTCGTATCGTCAAAAGTCTGACAATAATACCATGGGCTGTCACAATATATCGAATCACAAGTTTCTTATAAACATAGGGAACTACATATCCCATGATTCATTTCAGCACAGACAACATAAAGTTATGTTTTTTACTTGAATTCTTGGAATTATGACAGTAAAAGTTCACACCAAGAGTATTTTAAAAGCAAAAAAGTGCCCTATCTACCAAAATATCACAGTAAATATTGTACCGTGAGATGCATATCGTCAAAATATCGTATCAAGAGATTTGGATATCGTTACATCCCTAATATTTACTGTGATGTGTGAGCTAATGTGTCCAAATATTTCTCTTGTGGATTAGTAAAGTTTGTCTAAGTCTAAGTCTTAGACAGGGCATGGTGGCTGGGTGGCTAGCACGGGCGTTTCTGTGTGGAGTTTGCATGTTCTCCTCATGTCTGGGTGGCTTTGTTCTGGACAAACCGGTTTCCACCATCAACCCAAAACATGCACCATAGATAAAATCCTCCAACTAAGGCAGTCCTGACCAAGCCTAACAACAAGATCATGGAGATGGGTCCCCGGACGTCCCATGTGTTGCCCACTGCACCAGAAAGGATGGGTGAAATGCAGAGGACAATTTCCCTACAGGGATAATAGAAAGTACTACAGATATTACTATATATTAATTACAGCATTTAATCAAGTTGAGAAAACTATCAACACTTGGGTACACTTGATGTACTGTATTATCTGACTCCTTTTATTACTTTTACTAGTACCTGTATCAAATGCCTGATCAACCAAAACAACACACAATACTGTAATAAAGTAGGAGGAGTTACCTCGCCTGGCCTCACTTCTGCTGGCCCATTTTTGTCCTTACAACACGTCAGCTTTGAAGACAAAACAACACACACCTGCCTAAACTAATAACAGGCGCAGTAATGAGGGAATAGTCACATAAACTTTACCTGTGATATGAGCTATATTCTGCTCTTTTTGGTGTTTTATTTTTTGACAACATTTAGGCTACTTTTCCATAACAGCAGGAGCAGGGGAGAAAAAACATTACCGAGTTTATTTCTGACTTGACAAAAGCCATGGAAACCTGAGTAACCTGTATCTCTGGGCCTTCCTGAGACAAACCTGTTTCTCTTGTTGTGACTCTAACTGACACACTAACCAAAGGACACATCACTGTAGCCTCCATCACAAACATGTTCTGCTATGGACTCAATAAAACAGCTTCATGTTTACTTTTCATATAGCTGTCATCAATGCAAAACAGGCGAACATAGCATCCTCCTTGTGACTTCCCATAAAATAACAGTTTTGGGTCTCAAAGCCTAGATAGGTAATGTTGCTCTATATAAGTCTGATGTATTATTATTATTATTATTATTATTATGAGAGATGAGTGCGATTGGGTATTGGGTTTTGTGCAGCTTTTCACTATTTGTACTAGTAGTACCCTTATTACAAACTTGAACTTTGTCTAATGGATTATTTTTGACACTAATCACATTTTTATATACAGTAACACTTTTCCATCATCAAGGCAAAGTTCTTCACACTACGGAAGAACACACTCACTCATTCATTCATACAACAGTGTACTCAAGACACTGGGGGCGAGGGGTGTTAAGTGTCTTGCCCAAGGACACAATGACAGCATTCATCTGTGGGAGCTGGAATCACAACGCCAACCTGTGGATCTGACCGCTTTTCAAAGGATGTTTACTCGTGTGTCGACAGTGGGATGCAGTCATGTTGGATAAAAGGTTTGGCTAATCTGCGCCTACTTAATAATGATTAACTTTGCATTGATTTGAACAACGCAGTAATTGTAACAAAATTTAAGTGTGATTATGGATATTATTACAAAGTTATTTATCACAGAACCCAGACACATTTGTCACTGTTGTATTGAGACTGATCCATACTCTAAAATCTGTTAACTCTAAATCAGGAAACATGGTTAATACTTAATATGAAACAGGGCGGTAAAGCAGAAATGCACTAATCCCTTATAATTATGTTAGTAGTTCCCATGTTTTGTTTTAGTGTATAATTAGAATGCTGGTAGGCTACTGTGTGAGTAATGCAAAATGTGTTTGATGTGACCTTTTTATAGTTCTTGTGTATGTTTAACCAGACCAGTTATACCAAAACTGGTATTCTGAGTTTACAGATCAACTTCATTCCTCAAATCTCAAATAATTTTTTTTCCAAGAAGTTTTGCCACTACTCCATGTAATAATAAAATAACAGCTTGCTTGGGTTTACTTTCTCAGTTTGTGGCTTTTCAACCTTCTCTTTGCTTGCAACAATAAGCACTTTTATCCCAGATCTAAATGCCACCAGACAAAGTAATATCAACTTACCTTGACTCTTTTCCCTTCCATATCCAGTGTTCGTACTGTGAAGTCCACCCCTATGGTGTTTTGTTGTCTTTCTGAAAATACTCCTGATTTGAAGTTTTGCACCACGCACGTTTTGCCCACATTTGAGTCTCCAATAAGGATTATTTTAAAGAGAAAATCAAAAGTGTCATCGTGCTCTGGTCCAGGGGTCTGCTGCATCCTGGAGGTAGCAGTTTTGGCAAAGGAGGATATCAAATCTTTTCCTTCAAGAATGCCACATAAGAAAATAAATAAATATACAGTCCTTGCTCGTGGCTTTGTCTAATTCCAATTTTGCACGACCTAGTAATCAAGTCACCAAACTGGACGTGGTAGGTAAATGTTGAGTAAACATAAGCCAGTTACTCAGGTTTGATCGCGTGCTTTCAATAAAATAAAATAAAAATAACGTCAAATAGAAGTTATAAAAAACATTTTCAGCATCAATAGCATCCTCCTGGGCACATGCTGGCACCCAGATTTTCCAATAAGGTAGATCTACAGCAAAATTATAACCAAGTCCACGCCAATATCTTGAAATAAGTTGCTTCTTCTTCCGCCTCTGTCTTTATAAGCCTGTCTCTTTGCCGGTTTCTATAGACGTTGTTTATAATCCAATCCTCCCCCTCCTTGGTTTCAATAGCGCGCAATAGGTTCCCCCCTGATCGGTCGTTTCACTCTCACTCACTTCCCTTTCACCTGGCACCTGTTTTGAGGAGAGCAGCCCCGCCCTAAAGCCCGAGGAATGCTGGGAAGTGTAGTCCTTAGCGGCTAGTTGGACGTTTTCTTTGACGTCTTGACTTGGGCAAACAACTCGGCAAGCCTACAGTCAGATCAGGCCAGTAGTCCTAGTCCACGCAAACATTGTTTTTAATTTGAATAAAAAGGCTTGGCAGGCGTTTAGCACAAGTAATAGGGACATTAGCTCAGGAAATAGGCTAAGTGAAATTAATAGCTTAGCACATAATAGCACATCTGAAGCCAAATTAAAAAAAGAATTTGCGCCTAATAAAAATCACATTTCACTTATAAATAATTAACGTTTGCAAATCTCAACATTCATAACATAAGAGAAAAACATTACAATCATTACAATGTAAAAATCGTGAACGTCACTGTGAAACCTGTAATTTCCCATCTTCCCCGCTGCCCCTGAACGCCTCGGAGGCTGCTGATCGCTCCGCGCATCCTCGCCATGATTCGTCCTGCGCTCTGCCCCTGTGTGGATCTGGATACATAGATGTCCTTACAGCTATCACCACACGTCTGGAGCCTCCTCATTCTGGTTGTTGTTGTTGTATTATTTCTGCACACATTACGGCGCTTTGCAGAGAAGACGGACGCGGCAGCATGCAGCACAGCGCCGTGGTCGTGGTTGCGGACAAAACCAGCCTCAAAAGGCCGTTTATCTTCGCAAATGCTGTCAATATGGTAGGTTGGATTCATTTGACTTAACCTGGAAACACTGGACAGATGCAGGCCTGCGTGTTTTCCACGTCTGTGCAATTTACATTATTAAAAATATCTTAATGTTTAAATTGTGCTATAATAACGCACACATTCGTACTCATTACGCACTGGCAAACCACCGTGCCATATAATGTTAGCACACAAGATGTCTAGAAAGCAGTATAACATCAGCGTGTAACTAGAAAGCAGCAATATAAAAAGAAATCCCAATGTGGAAGTCTGTCTAAAGCTAATAAAAGCCCAGACTATGTACTCAATCCTGCAATTTCTTCCTGAAGCGACCACTCAAACAAGGCTATGTAATATTTATAATCCCCCTGGACCACAGTGTGCCCACAGCCACATGCAGTGCAGCTCTAGCGTTAGCCTCGAGGTGGTTTTAGCTCAATCCGCTCATATTACTGTTGTTAGACTACTTTTTTTCAAACCTAAGATTCATATCAGCAACAGTATTTCATGGTGGACATTAGTTATGAGTATTGTATGTAAGCCATGGATTTCCCATAGATTTGCTGACTACCTAAAATTCACTTATTTTGAGTTCTTATGTGAATTATTTAACTGTATTGTATTTAAAATATATGTGTTTATTTTCCATCTTAGGCATTGTGCTTCTTTATGCTGACAACCACAGTGGCTTGGCACAAAGATGTAATACAAGCTGGTCAGGTGAGTAGTCCTCCTCCTGTCTATCACTATAATGTACAGTGGGTAGATGTTGTTACTGATACACTATTTAAATGGACAAGAGACACAGACATGCAGTGGACAAACTGGACCTACGAACATTATGATTACAGATTTTATATTAAGTGAAGCTGGCATGCTTGTTTACTGTAACTTAATATAGCAACTTGATTTAATTTAATGGCTATTTGTAGTCTTGGATTCAGTCTGTCCATAGTGACCCTCATTATTGGAATGCCAATTCTGTGCAACGACCTAATTACAAATATATATTTCAAATAATGATACTTAAGGTGCACTATGTAACTTCTCTGGTGGATGGTCCTTCACCTGTTTATCTCCATGGAAATGTATGTTCAGCCTGATTCATCAGCCGGTTTCACTTCGTGGAAACCGTCTGACTTCGCAGTACTTTTTTAAAAATTTAACCAATCGCTGCTATTTGGTTTTGACGTATGTAATGCGCCAAAACACTCAGTGGTGTCCAAGTAATTGCCAGCACAACAGCAAACAAAGCAGAGAGTGAACATGTTTGTCCGCGATCATTGTTGTTTCTGAGAGATGAACCCACAAATTAAAGGTGCAATAAAAAATGCATAGTTTGTATTTGACAAAGGAGAGGAGGATAGCGTATGTAGTCTGATATTGCAGCTCGAGTTGGTTCAGCTGTTCGTTGATTGGCCGGTGCGCGGTCTGCAATTTCCCGGGTTCTTGCAAACAATCTTGTGTATTCCGATTCCTTACCTAGTCGCTGGAGAAAAATGAAATTGAGAGGAGGCACTAGGTGGTGCCAGCCTGGCTAATGTATGTTACTGCTTTGCCTGAAATGTTTCACAGTGTGGTATTCAACATATCTGTCTCCATGGAGATAAGTAGGTCAACTCAGCTTCGTAGAGTGACCCCGCTCACTATAAGAAAGCATGTCAAACCAATAAGAAACACCTGAAATTGAATACATGCAAGACAGGTAAGTTTAATGCCATACTGAGGAACATTTCTAGCAAGGACATCTCTTTAAAGACAAGCACTCTGTCACTTTGTCACTACTGAATACAGTATTGGTAGGTCGCTAGTTTGTGTTTACTACTTTTTGATGTAATTGGACAATGGATATTGTTTATATATCATCAATGTATTTATAATTTCACTATGATCTGGTCACTTTTCTGATTAAAAAACGCAAATATGATGCCCTTAAAGGTCATTGTGAACTGTTGCCGCCTTGACTAAAATACAAACCAAAACACTGCATCAGCATCTGTTTAACATTTAGCAAAAGGTCATAGATTAAAATATGCATCTTATAACATGTTAACCTTTTAGTATGATCTTTAGTATGACCCGTTCATTAGCTTTGTATTTAGCTTGGGACTTTGTGTTTTATGTGTTTTATGCTATGTTACTCTTTAATATTGAATGATAATGTCAAGTTTCCAGGATAGGTCTAACACAATAATTACTTTTATTACAGGATAATCCACTTATCGTTTAATAAATTGTATTCTAACATTATCTTTGGCCTCAGTATTCAATGTGTGCAATGTGTTTTCTTCACTACTGAGGAACTATGTCTTAATTTCTGTAGTACATTAACATGTGAGCTGTAGCAGGTTGAATAATTAACATATCTATGACTCATTCTAGATACTAACTAAGTAACTTCTCAAGAGTTTCATCTGGCTGTTTATCTAGGGCTGCTCAAATCTTTCTTTGATACATCATTTAGAAAGGGGTTTACTGGGATTGTTTGCCTTAGGGCTACTGTGTCAGTGTCTTAAAGTAGTTTTATGTTATTTTTACTGTAGCAATTGCATCTCAAATTTTGCTACTACAGTTACTTAGGTAGTAGAATTTCCTTTGCAATATCCATGAAGTTAAAACTTCTATAAACATGATCTGAAATACATAAAGATGAATTTTTTTTATTAGTTTAAAGCGTCCACATTACGTTGTTTGTGATCTATGTTATAATGTTTTCCTCATCACAAACATACCTGGAGTTTTGTTTTGTTTCATTCACACGTTAAATACACAAACCCTGCATATTTAAGCTATACTTCTCAAACAGAAAACACACTGTTCCACTTTGTGATGTCATGTGGCAATACAGAAAGAGCTCCACTGTGGTTTTAAACTCTATACAGCTTCACTAGAATCATTTGGATGATTTCAGCTCTGGAACTGCCAATCATTGCTGCTAACTTGCAATCTACCACTACATGACATCACAAGGTGGAACAGAGCAGAGCATTTTGAGCTTTGGAGATGTAGACAGACTAATAATAAAGAGTTGCTCAAAAGTGTGAATGAAAACACAGCTCCAGGTATGTTTTTATGAGGTAACAACATTATAACATGTAAAACTTTGCATAATATAGTACCTTTAACAGTTAACTTTTCAGTCTTCTCTCAAGTTTTTCCCTTGACTTGTTTAAAATGTGCACTATAATCCTAATTTTAAAATGAAAATTGCAATCTATTCTAACCACAGAACTAATACTAAAAATTAAAACTGTCATTAGATATTCTCCCATAACCTCGCAGCTCTACAATCCACTGTCAAGTAAAGCAGCCATCCTCACTTCTCCTAACACATGCCCAGTATAGTATAATTGTATACTGAAAAGAAGCCATGTCTTATTCCGTGGATTCTTGTCAGTATCCAATTATTCGCACTGTAACCATCCAATTAGCACTTTGAAAACCTTTCGTCTAACTGTGGGTCTGTCTTCCTCCACAGTTGGTATCCAGTGCTTCTGTGGTGATCATGTACATTCTGGAGGTGGGCTGCATGCTGCTGTCTCTGCTGGGGGTCCTGGGAGCCTGCTGGGGCAAGAGATGGTGCTTGATACTGGTACAAACTGGATTATACTTGATTATTACAGATAGACATGGAACGATATAGAGATTTGGTGTAGATATTTTGGATTAACGATTGAGTTTCTGAACGACACCTAATTTATTTAAAAATCTGGTCTCTGTGACTAATCCTTGTTTTTGCCTTTTGCAGTTTGCAGCTGGGATGGCAGCTGCAAGTCAGACAATTATTGTCAAAACAGCTTTGAGTTATCAAGAGATCTATGAGGTAAAGTATGGCTATTTTCTCATCTGAATACAATGTATTAAAACACCAGATCTATATTACAACAACAATCACCATAGTTAAGAAATCAAACTATTAAACCATATATGTGCCTAAAAACAAGACATGATAAGATGAAACTTTTTCAGAAAGTGGTGGTTCGAGAAGAGACCAAACTGCTCTCCATGATGCCTCTGAGTGGAACCAACAAAAACAACAGGACTCTGCTCTACAGCATCCAAGCCCATGTGAGACTGATATGTTTAAAATGTCATACAATTTCATAACAAATACTGAAAACAGAACTTGTTTTTGCTCTAGTTCAAATGCTGTGGTCTTGTGGATGGATATAAAGACTGGGGCTCCACTATCCCAGTGTCCTGTAACTGTCAGTACCCAGGCAAATGTGTAGGTATTTTTTAATTAAATATATTTATGATTTGCACATTTCTTCTATTTTTAAATGCTCCCCATTTGTCATTGACCAGATTCGACTACGGGGCAGTGCTACACTCGGCGCTCCTAAGAACGTCTATGTGTATCAAGAGGTAATGACTTATTGATTATGTGTTAAATGACATTGTTGTGCAAAATAACAATTACTAAATACATTTTAATACTTCAGAAATCTGTAATTTATTGCCAAGTGTCCATCTCTTGCTTTGTTTTTGTGTTTTGTCCATAGCCTTGTTTACCAATCTACGTCTCTGCTCTGAAACGAGGATTCACGTTATCAACAGGGATACGGTTTGGCAGTGGAATCTTCTGGGTTTGTGTTCCTTTTATTTTCTCTAATGTATCACATCATGTAAACATGTTAACATATTAAATATTGACCTCTGTATGAACCTTTGTGTCTTTAGGCGGTGCTGATGGTGATGAGTATCCAGCTGATGGTGCAGCTCAAAAGGAAAGAGGACTTCATTGCTTTGCTCCAGTCAAACAGATATGTGCCCGGGGCTTTCTAGGACTCTTTTTAAACACACTGTTAATTATTAGCAAGCTGACCTTTTGCACATTTAACATGTTATGCTGTATGCTAAACCTGGCTAATTCTGCTCCATAAATTACTGATTTTCTACACCTATTATTGCATGCATCGGATTGATTGTAAACTACATGCATATGCTATAACTTCCTGCTTCCTTTTTGCTGTGGAACAGCTTCATCCAATAATACAAACCAAAGTCATTGCCACTCTCTGAACAGTATTATTAACAGTATCAATATTGTTGTGGCACTTTATAAGAATATTTATAGAAATCTTATAACTTCAAGTATTACCTATAAGGGTGAAGTGCTGTTCAGTGTGTACGTGTGTGTTAGTTACACTTTGATTCAGAAGAACAGTAATGCTGCAGTAATGTACAAGGTATAACCTCATAAATCATTAGCTGTCCAGGCACCTGTCTCAAAGGCTGCCCAGTAGTTTTGTATTATACAATGTCATATATGCCCCATAACTTTATTGAAATGATCAAGCTCCTATATATATCCTGCATATTGTATATTTTAACTTCACAGCATTTAAAATGTTTGTTTTCCTTTGGTGAAGTTCAGTGCATTGAACTGATGTAATCTCCTGGCTGCACTTGATAGTCCTCAGTCTAAATGAACAGATACTATTTATAAACACAACATTTCATAATAAGATAATATTATAATATTTTATTATAATATTGTGCACTGAACCATCACCACTAGAAATAAACATTTGAACCTTTATATAATATCCTACAGCAGTGTTTACAGTGTGAGAAATGTATTCATTATAAAGCAATATGCCACTGGGCTCTGACACAGGAATGAGTTACAGCTGAATGTTGAGATGCATTGTTATGCATATTGTATATTTAAAGCACATTTATTGGGGCTTCAGGGTTTTCTGTTTGGTTGCACATTGAGTAGACATCATTTCTTTGAACATAAAGGATTTGTATATATCTATCTGATTTTAAGAGGCCACTGCAGACGGACACTACAGGCATATAACAGTTGGAGAGTTTGACACAGCCACTCTCACCACAGTAGCCTTCTGTCACTATGCTTCTACTGCTGCATGAGCTGCCGGCAGGCCAATGGCTCCTTGACTTATGACTTAACCTTCAGACTTCAATGTGAAACAGCTTATCCAATGTCTACTGTGCACTTTAACCATTATGGCCTAATATTCTGTATATTGCAAAATATCGGATTTCAGTCACACACTGTTTTCTTGAAGGACTGAACTGGTGTAATATTTTGTAAATATGAAAAATAAAGATGTACCTTTTGTTCCTTTAACTGTTTGTGAATTGCAGTATTTTTATAAATAGAATTATACCAAAAATAGTTTACATGCTTTGTGTTAAAACAATGGAACAGACATGTTGTGGTCTCTGATACGCTACCTCTTGATATTTCCTGTTTACAGACAAACTAAATCACCAGAATGTACACAGAGACAAATAATCAACATTTATGTTTATAGTACACAGAAATTCTCAAGTTAACAGTGAAGAGGTTAAATTTATTTAACAATAATAAAAAAAATGTTACTGACACAAAAAAAAGAAAAAAAAAAAAAAAAACATAATCTTGAAGGCACTTTGAAATCCATTCTACTTTTCTCCCATTTACCTTCACATGCATTTTCCATGCTCCTTTGGTTACTGTACACTGCCAGAAAGTAGGAATATTTTTGTTTTTCACCCAGTGCTTTTAAAATCCATGCATAAAATCAACTTTGACCAAGTGCAACAATTAAATACTGAGTAACACAAAACAATATTGGCAACAGATCTTAGGCATAATTTATTCTAACTACTCTAACTTGAGATTCTCCTGGAAAAGCTGGAGGAAGAGTGTGTGGAAAAGGAAATCTGGACATTCCTGCTTAGACTGCTGCCTTTGCGATGCCAGATAAAGCAGAAGAAAATGGATGAATGTCCAATCAGGTCAATCAGTAAAATGTCATGTAAACACTCAACCCATCCCTAAACAATGTGAAAAAAACCCACATAAAGCTGTACTGCCTTGTCAATGAATTTAGAAACCATTCATTTGTTGCACTAGAAAAGCAAAGATTCTAAAGATGCACTGTGTAACTTTTTTGGTAGAGGGTTTGCCACTTGCTTGCCTGTTCCACAGTATCGCAATAAGTCTATCTACTGCCATGGAGACAAGTATGAAGATGAAGACAAAGATACAAGAGAGATCTGCGGAGAGGTAAGTTGCATGTTTAAGGTATTTTGAGCAATAAAAACATCTATAATTGACAAAGCAAGATAAATACTATTATTAATACCATACAGTGGAATATTTCAGGCAAAGCAACATCTTCATGAGGCAAGCAGGAGGCGTACCATTCACTACCGAAGTTACACAGTATAATTTTAAGCCTATTTCAATACAAAATGGTTGTCCATGTTAACATTCATAGTAAAGCTACATTTTCAGTGCTCATCTTGTGTTACTCACTACATTCAATAGACATATTTTTGGAATTTAAAACTGATAATGCCTCAAGCTAGTATTACAGGTACTTAGTGGTCTCTTTGGTAAAATCTGCATTATGATAACAAAGGTATTAAAACATGAACTATAAAAGTGTCCTCCATTTGCAAACACGGGAAAAGGCCAGTGCGTTGAATCATGTGAGCTCAGCATCATCTAATAAGACAGAGTAATTTCCAGCTTTGGCCTCGGGGCTGTAGACCACTGCTGGGGTGTCCTCTTTTTTGCTCATCTGACACAAAGTCAGCACACACAAACCCACAGACAAAATCTGCACGAAGAGAGGAGAGACGATCAGTATATGCTCACTACAGGTGGGACGAGACACAATCTCTTAGACTTAGACAAAGTTTATTGATCCACAAGGGAAATTATCTGGACACAGTAGCTCAGAGTGTATTATAATAACAAAGAGAAACAGTATAATAAATTTCCACAAGACGAAACGAGATATGAGATTAGGTCTAGAAGAACAAGACATGATGAGATTTTGACATAATTTGCAATAAATAAAATGTGCAATCCAGTTCACAATTTGGGCCTAATAATTTACATTTTTATATATATACTATATATTTTTGTTATCATTGTAGCTCTGCATTTTCTCAAGAGGTGCATCTCACCACCACTTAGCCTCTTGTTATCCACACAAAATCTCACTTGTGATAATTTGGTCTAATGAGATCTGGAGAATGAGATCTTATTTTTTATTTTCTTTAATTTTATGTATTTATTTTAAGCAACTAAAGATTTACATTATTATACAATGGAACATATAACATAAGTGAAATCGTAATAGAAATGAAAATAACCACAACAAAAAATTTGCCCTAAAAGGAGTGGGAAGAGGAAAATTTATTTAATCCCACCCCCACTCTTCTAATCTAACACAATGAGCTATCTTTTGCATTTTTCAGACATTTTGCATTAAACTATATGAACAATTTACAAGTGCGGATAATGAGTAACTATTTTAGCTTAGTAGTATAACATAAACAAACCAACAATGGTAATAATAATAATGGTCTTCTTCCATCCCTAGTGCTCACTGAATTCAAACCTGCAGCATGCTGGTTGGGTAGTATAAGTCAGTGTGTTTGATACGTAAAAATACACAAGTGAAAGCTTATAAAGTCATTTCTGACTTAGTGTTTGAGTAATTTTAAATGTGGAAATGTGGAGCGGGATGTTTTTAAATGAAATAATGGGAGAAGGCATGGTTTGATTGTAAATAGATGGATACTTGGATGTGCTGTAATTCAGGGTATCCCCAGGTTTGACTACCCCAAATTTAAGACTTTTTTAAGACTCTTTAAAGACCACTTATATGAAAATTAAGACCAACATCGCACCCATTATGCGGGCGAAAAACACCAGATCCAATTCTAATATTGACCATTACTCGCTGCTTTAAATAGCAAAAAATACTACTATAAAATCTCATTCACAACTCATTTATAGTAGTATGCATTGCTTGTAAAATGGCCAAAAATTTAAAAATAATTTATAATGTTCAAAATATATTTATGTTTTTTTTTGTCCCTCCATTTAACATTGCACTGTGGCCCGGTTGAGTATACAAAAAATAGGCTTAAGAAATTTAACCTTTATGAAAAAAATAAGACTTGGAGAACATAATTTAAGACTTTTTAAGGCCTTAATTTATAAACATGAAATTTAAGATGTTTTTAAGACTTTTAAAATTGTGGCTATCCTGTAATTTTTTCTTAACCTGCCCGGAGACTGCAGATGGAAATAAGTTTTAGTTCAATCTGCTGTAAAATAAACCCATAAACTAAACTCAAGTAAATAAAGGGTGTAGTGTTAAAATCAAACACAAGGGGGCAGGCAGACATGACTTTAGACATACTTTTCTAGTCCTATGGTGTTTTATGTATATAGGCAAATTTGGCAATATGCAGTTTTCTAGTGACAGAATAGATATAGTTGGATATTGGACCAAATCACGCTGATTACATTTTCTCTTTTGAATATTTCTAAATACATAGATACAGGAATAAGGGTCCCTGAATGAAAAGATGAAAGCATAAGAATACATTTATTATACGTTAACAGTAAGTTAGGCAAGTAAAGATCAAATTTGTATTGTGTTTTTCAGGCTTGACATGCTTTGTAAAACAGTTATGCAGTTCTAAATTATTAAGAGGAGGTGATGAAGAACTGTTGTTGCCCTGCCCTGGGGTGAACTGACAGAATAGTGGCTGCCTTTCCACACCACACTCTGATCATCACCAACCACATTTACCTTGACAAGGACGGAACTGTCATAAAAACCCTACAGGACACACCTACAGTATGCAAAGCTGGTAGTAAGGATTCAGCTTTAGCCTTTTAATAATAGCACTGGTGGTACAATGGTATGTATTTCACGACTTCATGGTTTTATTGAGACAAACCTTTCATACTTATAAACACACTATTACTTCCCCCTTCAGTGATTTATATAGAAGTGTCTAAAAAAGATTACTGTCTAAAACTATAAATGTCTTTTGGCAAGAGGAAACCAAAGGGAACACACAGCCACACACAAAGGAAGGAAGGAAGTTTTAAAGTGAGCTATGAAATGAAAAGTGGACAAGACAAAAACACAGACACCAAGTAGCATTATGTTTAAACGGTCCATATTATGATATTTTCTCATCTGTGTTATAATGTGTAATGTTTCCTCATCACAAAGAGACCTGGAGTTGTGTTTTGTTTCATTCACACACAAAACCTGCATAAGGAGGCTGAGTTCTTCTCTCAGACAGAAAAAAACTACACTACAAAACTACAGCTTCATGACATCACGGGGCGAACAGAGTATTTTGAGCTTCAGAGATGTAGACAAACTAAAAACAAAGGATTACTCAAACATGTGTGAATGCAACAAAACACAACTCCAGGTATGTTTTTGATGAGATAACAGCATATAACATTTTCTTTTTTGGGGGTAATCTAGGACCTTTAAGCTTACCATATATTTCTGACAGTTCAAAAGTTCAACAGTACTTACCCATAGTAATAGTGTACCCAGTATTACTCCTAATAACACATCTATGGCAAACAACGCATGGGCTGCCAGGTAGGTGATGCAAGGCTAAAACATGGGACATAGAAAGATACTGTCAAATCATCTTTTTTGTGATAAAAAATAAACTAAATAATAAAATGTAAATAGAAACTATAGTTCAGAGAGGATCGTTTTGCAATGTTGACACTCACCTCTTTATAAATCATTATGGGGTCATCTGTTTTTACATTTTCAAACAAACTGCTGTTTCTTGGAGCTGCCACCTGCATCACAGACAAAAGCCCCACAAGGTTTCATTAATTTTCAGGACCTGAAAAGCTGCTTTACACCACGATCAGTGAGAACCCCAATGTCTAAATGCCATGCGTTACTACCATAGACTGTAAGAGAAGTGGACTAAGTGAGTGTGACGTCACCAATAGTGTTCAGCGCGGTTACAGGAGCGAAAGTGGAGATTTTTTTGACTGACAAAATAGCGAAAAAAAAAAAAAAAGAATCAGGATCATGTAAAGTGGGTTAATATAAACACATTTAAAGGGACAGTTCAGAATTTTGAACATAGGACCTAATTTCCTAGAGTGTTGGAGTCATGTGGAGCTGGTGCTAAGTTAGTGCATGTCAATGGCCATAGTTAGCCTGCTACTAAAAACAGTCTTGCTCACTCCACAAAAGACCCAAAGCAAAACAGTTATTACGCCAGACTGTCGATGTGAATGTCTGTGTTGATAGAATAATGTCTGAAATAAAACTAACTTTGCATCACATAAACTGACGCATGTTGAGGGACTATTTTCTCATATATCAGTCCACCACTGCCAAACTTTCTATCAGGAAGTGCAACTCGCTGCTGCTGCTCAATCATAAATCCTTCAAATGCAGGGCTGGTTTTACTTCTAATATTATTCTATCAACACAAACATTCACACCAACAGTCTGACGTAATAACAGATTTGCTTCGGGCGCACTGTGGAGTGGGTAAGATTGTTTGTAGTGGCAAGCTAACAGTGGCCATTCACTTGCACTAGCCTAGCACCAAAAAACCTTTCCAAATATAAGGACTGGATGGATTATATCAAAAAGTGCCTCCACACATCTCCAACACTCTGGTTCACTAGGAAATGAGGCTGTATGTCCAAAATGCTGAACTGTCCCTTTAACACTGCATAACACAAAAGTAGTCCAGCAGCAGTCAAATCACTGTTCTGTATCACTGCTCTGCGGCCATCGCCATGACATCACCATAGCAATGGGTAAAAACATGCTCAGCTGCTTTAGAGAGAATGCAGAAGCTTATATTTTGGAATTTTTTTTTTTTTTTTTTTTTTTTTGATACTTTGGACATTTACAGACAGGGAACAAGCTTTTCACATTCAGAAGTAAGACATTTCAGTTTGTAGCTTACAACTTGGAGCGTGCGTTATGAAGTTTTAAATCACAGCTTCTCGTTGTTTAATGCTTATGTATCACTGCTCTGCTGCCATCGCCATAGCAACAGGTAAACACATCCCCAACTGCTCTGATTTAGGGACTAGCTTCATTTAAAACACTGAAATAACTCATTTAAGACATTTACAGACAGTGGACAGGTTTTAAGATTTACAAGTGAGACATTTCAGTTTGTGGAGCTTGGAGCAAAAATAATAGTGATATATTATTTATGTATCTTGCAAATTCTTATTATTTTTTAGGACGTGTTCTCACTTGCACACACACCACATAACCCGAGTAAACCAGGTCAAGTGTGTATGTCACCATCCAGACGTTATTGCTTTGCCAGGAAAGTCCCACAGTGTGGCATTAAACGCATCATGGAAGCAAGCAGGTGACACCACTTGCCACTGAAGAGGCAAATCTGCTCACACTGAAACTTTCTGTTTCTGTGTATTTTATTTTTATTTTTTTGCAATGGAGACACAAGTAATTAACTAATAGCAAAATAGAAATTTTAATGCTGTACTGTGAAATATTCCAGACAGGGCAATAACATCCCCACCAGAAAAGTTACTGTGCATCTTTAACTGTTAATGGTGAATTAACGTATTAATCCTAATCCGGGAAAAATATATATAAATAGCTAAGCCTACATAGGAATAGTTGCTTTTAAAGGGCTAGTGAAGTTGTGTTAAATTATCTGAGTTTAAAGCCTGTATTATATAACCAGACATTACTTACACATGGGTGAACTGCATCTTCCACACAGAGACAAGCCTCTGAGATGTTGTAGCCCCAGTCCTGATAGCCCTCATACATCCCACAGCACTGCAGCTGAAAAACACCAAAATAAACCATATTAAATGTATGCACATATAGTACAAGTCATGTTATAAATGAACAGATACATACGTCTATTTGCAGCTCATTAATGCCATCTATGTCCTCTTTACTGGCGTTTGACAAGGGAATTACACTCAAATAATGGGCCTTAATTTCTTGAACTACCTGCAAAAACAGAGAGGAAGAAGCACAGTTAACACAGTAGTTTAGTTATGAACACAGAGACTGTTTGAATTAATAGGTAAAGGTGCATTATGTATTTTATCTGGTGGAGGGTTTGTCACCTGCTTGTCTCCATGGAGATGTTACTGTTTGCCTGGAATGTTCCTTAGTATGACATCAAATCTATCTATAAAGCAGTTATCAAAATACAGGCATTTTTTAGATTTAACACGGTAGATGGAGAATGAAGGAACATTCCATTTAAAGCACACACACACACAAGTAAGTGGTGGATTCTCCAAAAGAAAGTTACATAAGACACCTTTAATCCATTACATTCATTGCTTTACAATTGAATAAGCTGATGCCAAAGAACAGCATGCAGCGTACCCACATGAATGGAGTATTTTTTTTTATTATATTTTAGCTGTGAATTAAGTCTATAACATACGTTTCAATTTCAAATGGCATAAAACAGAATATCTACACCACATAAAACCTACAATAAAACACAGCAGACACTAAAATCCAGACAATTACTGGAAAATGTGTGAAAATGGCTATTACTCTCAGCTGTAATTAGGAACACTATGTAACTTTTCTGGTGTCGGCCCCACCACATTTACTGTCTCACATTTTGCTTCACCTGGAATGTTCCACAGTATGGCATTAAAAAATAACCAGCCTAAATTTCAGGTCAGATCTGCTGAAAGGTGAACCCCACTCAAAGTAAGAATGCATGGTATTTAAGGTCTTTTTGGACAATAAAAAGCGCAATGGTAAAATTCAAGATAGATAAGCTTCATTGCAATACTGTGGAACATTCCAGGCAAAGAAATAACATTTCTAAGGAGAAAAACAGATGGTGGAACCTCAGTTTCATAGTGCACCTTTAAATGCAATACAATGCAGTGACAAATATATGCAAGGTAAATATCTGCCAGCATTTTCATTTATGCATCACAAATCAGCCTCAGGTTACAGTGACAACATAACATTTGTCAGTTGGAGCTTTAATCCTGAGATATGCAGATAAAATCTATTAAATGGAAACTAAAACTACATCTACGTGTATGGACGTGTCCAAGCAATGTAAAACTTGTTTACAGATTTTTATGTTGTGTGTGACTTGAGTTACCCTCGGTCTCACTGCCACTCCTTGAATGTCCAATACTCCCATTAACATGCAGCACAGCGTCATGCCAACAATGTACTGAAACAAATGAGTAATGAGAAATTTAAATCAGTGGTGGAAAGTAACAAAGTACAAAAGTAAAAGTCCTTCACATCAGTACAATTTTTAGGCATCTATACTTCACAGTGGATACTTTTTACGTTTACTTCACCGTGTTTTAGAGCAGGTAACAGTGCTTTCTTATTCACTTAAAAGTAAAAAGTACTTTTGACATCCTGATAAAAGGTTGTGAGTTCAAGTCCCAGCTTTGAGCAAACAAAAATATATACATGAAATTCCACAGAACAATTAAGAAACTGTTACTGCAATCCTTATCAATATTATTACATTTAACACTTTAACAGTTGTCATAATCTATTGAAATATTTGTACTTTTACTTGAGTCATTTTTGTCCCTGTATTTGTACTTTTACTTAAGTAACAAAACTGAGTATTTCATCCACCACTGATATAAACAAATAATCATGAAATAAAAAAGCATACATGAATAACTTAAATGTGAACTGTGTAATATTTTGGTTGGGGGTCCGTCACCTTGTCTCTATGGATATGGCATTGCTCTGCCTGGAATGTTTCACAGTATGACATTAAATAGCTCTACCTCTACCAGTTTTATAGCTTAAAAATACCTAGAAAAACAGGCATTCTGACTCAGTCTCTCCACAGATCTGACCTGTAACTTGTTCTGGTTTGTTGACGATAGAAATGTTTTATAGCATACTGTGAAAGATTCCAGACAGAACAATAACATCTCCATGGAGAAAAGCACTGTATGGACCCTCCGCCGGAAAAGTTACACAATGCACCTTTAAAGTCAGAGATGTTCACCCATATCTTTGAGAAAAATGTGTCTTGCCCCAGTACAGATATATTCTATAAGCACCTCTTAAATCAAAATAAGTCTGCTGTGCACTGCCTGCATCGAATTAGAAAGCATTTTATTGTCCAATAATCAGGAAGTACTTGTTAGCATGCTAGTTGTCATTAGCTTTACCATCACAGGAAAACTCTGCTCTGGTCTCTGAGAGTTGTGGAAAGTACATTTAAACTGTGAATAATTTGGATACTTTGACTGCATAAGGTAAGTAAGGATTAACTTTGGACTACTGCAAACCATTTAAAGGTGTAATATGTAACTTGTCTTTTTGAGGGCCCAGCACTTGCTTGTCTCCATGGAGATATTATCGCTTTACCTGGAATACATTAAACTTATTTACCTTGTGTTTATTCAGTTAAAACTCCATTATAAAACATGGATTCTTGTGATGAGCAGAATCTGTGTATTATTCATTAATTCTTTCATTTTATATTTTCAATATAAAACCAAAAATAAGAACACGAAAAAACAACAGTTTTCTTCATTATTTGTCTCCAAAACCAAATGAAAAAAAAAAAAAAAAAAAAGGATAAAGATTCATTTTTTTAGTTTTGTGTTTAAATGAGCAATGGAAAAAACGGATAACGGCTGTTTCCCTTTTCCTTGATTTAAACTGAGATGCAGGACTTTTGTACCACAAAATTGACTGAACCAGGACTGAACCAGGACTGAATCAGGACTGAAACATGACTAAACCAGCAGAACTAAGCAGTTTTCAGTCCTGGTCTCAGTCCCGATCCTATTCTTGGTCTCAGTTCTGTTCTGGTCCTGCTCTCAGTCTTGGTCTCAGTCCTTGTCCTGTTCCCGGACTCAGTCTTGGTCTGGTCAAGGTCTAAGTCCTGGTCTCAGTCCCGGTCTGGTTCCGGTCTGGTCCCGGACCTGATTTAGTCCTGGTTCAGTCCGTATGCGGTGCAAAATTCTGGCATCACAGTTTAAGTCACAAAAATGGGAAATGGCCGTTATCCATTTTTTTCCATTATTCATTTAAACACAAAATCAAAAACTGAAAAAATTAATCGTTATCTGTTTTTTCATTTTGGTTTTGGAGACAAATAATGAAGAAAACTGTTGTTTTTTTCATTTTCTTATTTTTGGTTTTATTTTGAAAAACGAACGAGTGAATGATACACGGATTGAGCAGGGTCCCCTCTCCATAGATCTAGCATGTAGCTTGGCCTGGTGGTGTTACACTCTTGTGTCCATGACATTAGTGATATTTTGTGCCATATACTGCTGAACATTCCAGACAAAAATTTCCATGGACATGAGTAAGAATATAAGCAGACCCTCCTCCAGAAAAGTTACACAATGCACCTTTAAAATGAACTAGTTCTGTTTTTGACGTTTTCAGAAGTCAAAATCAGGCAGAGCTCCTTTAACCCTTTTACTTACACATATTAACATCCACTTCTTTCTTTTACAGACTCCGTACAAGCCAGTGGTGACGAGGAGGATTGTAATAATAGAAGTCGCATACATGACTTGAAGCCCTGGAAGAATGTTCTCAATCTGTGAAAACAAACAAACGCAAAATTACATCAGTGGGTTAGACAATGCTACTGGGCCAGACGAGATAAGAAAACAGCTTGTCTAATGAATAAACTGGAGAGGGGCTCAAAGTGCATGCTCTCCCTGTGTCCTGGGCAAGACACTTTCGTCACATCGCTTACTTCAGTCAATGTATAGCTGGATGGGGAAAAAAAAAACATCTGAACAAAACCAAACAGATTTTAGCCCAACTCTTACTAAAATAAAAAATATACTTTCTAGCATTATTCATAGCATTATTGATGATAAAAGTGTAATTACGTTGCCTAGAATATTCCACAGGCAGGCATTCAATTTATGTAGAAACAAGTGATTTACGTAATACCTAGATACAGTGGAGAGGTAAGTTCAGGTAAGTAAGGTGAGAATTGCTGTGAGAATGCTGCTAATGAATTGCCCTCTGGGATCAATAAAGTTTTCTGAATCTGAATCTGTATCACTCCCATTAAGCAAGCACTGCATGTTTTTCCAAAGCATTTCTATGGAAACAAAAACACCATTAACTGAATAAATACTAGTATATATAAGTTTAATGTCATACTGTTAGACATCCCAGAAAAACAGAGACAGGCAGGTGGCGAACCCCTCCACCAGAAATGTTTCTTTAACTGTAAGAGTTTATCTTAACTTATAAACTGTAAAAAATTTGCAAAGGATCATGGTCTATGTTAGCCAGTGCCTCCGCTCAATTTCATTTCTCTCCAGCGACTAGGTCAGGAATCGGAATACACTAGACCAGGGGTGTCCAAACTTTTTTCATCAAGGGCCACATATCTAAACACAGATGAAGCAGAGGGCCGATCGAGGGCCGTAGACTGGTGCTCAGTACAGTGAATAATTGAAATATGTGCATGTTTAACACCAATAGCATGAATAAACACTGATGGCTCATGTTAAGATCCTTAAAACCACACACTAAATATTAAATATTCACTTTATCAAGGTAGATTTTCCAAATACTTGCAGTAAGAAGTACATTTTTAAATGATGTAAGGTAATTTGGGCCAATTCACCTGGAAGCCTGAGGGCCAAGAAAAATTTGTCTGAGGACTGCAATTGGCCCACGGGCCGTAGTTTGGACATTCCTGCACTAGACGGTTCGCAAAAACCCCAGAAGTGTGAGTTTGGGCACCAGCCAATCAGCGAAGAGCCATACATTCTGTGTCGGCAACGGTTCCCGAGATTGAGGATTTAAAGCTGGAACAAAGAGAATGTTTGGTGAATTTTATCAAGGTGAAAGACGTTATTGCCCTTCTTCCTACGGGATTTGGGAAAAGCATAATATACCAGTTAGCCCCGTTAGCTGCGCATTACAAATGTCACGAATCACAACCAAATGCCACCTACCGACGAGCGAACGAAATCTAATACTGTGAGGTCAGATGGTTTCTACGAAGTGAAACTGTCTGATGAATCAGGCCAGGTCTATGAAGTTCCTGCTGTTTATGTTTTCATGTTGATGCACCAAAACAAATACTTTGACCCAGTTGTAAAAAAAAAATATATATATATATATATTGTTTTATGTGACATTTGACATTGCATCATCACAACAGAGTCAGTGTTGTTTGTATCTTATCTACTTTGAGAGTATAGTAGCAATAATAATATAAAATACACTTGTGTAGATAAGATGTCACTGTTCTACACTATCCAATGATAATCCACTATCGATAGGCCGATGAGTCAGTTGTATTATGTCACAGGATATTGGCCTAAAAGTCTGAAAAAGCAATATTGCCGCAGTGCTGTGTGGTGAGACCCTAGGGTGCTTTTGGGGTCAAAGATTTATGGCCGTTTTGCTCCTCTTGAGTCCACCATTGTATATTTTTGGGGAGCTGTCTCTCAGTGTGGTTTGAACCTCCAAGAATCCAATAAACAGCCGCCCCACTGTTCATAGACATGCATGTGTTTAGTGAATCAGTGGGTTTTGCTATAATAAATTAATGCCAAAATGAATGCTTGTAGGTCTAGCTTCTGAAATGCTTTTAGTGTCTTACCTCTTCATCCTCGTGGAAGTATCCGTGACTGAACAAAGTGATGGCCAGCAACAATCCACTGAGAATCTATAACACATAAAACAACAAAACTCACTTAATTGAGTCCATCATCCTTCAGTGCTTTTAAAGAGGTAAAGATGAGAGACACTCCTGTGTGTTGCACTTCCAACTCTGACAGTCCTCAAAGTGCTCGAGGGCTTTAATGGCTAATAAAAACCTATGTCCCCGCATGTCAGTAACCGAAAGCTTGTTCCATTCATCCAGTACAAAAGCCGCTAGAAAAAACACATGTTGCATAACGTATTTCCAAGAAGCGCTCAAAGATTAACATTTGGCATTTACATCCAATAGCTGACTAAACCTATCCATTCTGATCAAAATGCCAAGCGAGACTAATCCACACAACCCACTGCTTCATAACAGAATAGGGTAGTAAACAAAAGACAACATTTACAATAGATTTTTTCCTTTGTTTCTTTTTTCTTTTTTGTTATTATAGGTCTGTTCTGTTTGTTACGTCTATAAAATAAGCTTAAATCGACCTAAACAGACTTACTCTAACAGCCAATCGTAATGCAATATAGTAGGCTACTAGCAGTCCAGATGACAACTGTTAAACCAGATTGGATCATAAGCCTTTGTTATAACGCGTAAAATGAGTAGGCGACAGAACCGGGACTATTTTTCCAACTTTCACGTTAAAACTACTTCATGAGCCACATAGCGATGCTCCTGTCATCTGAGTGAGGTGCTGTGTAGTTTATTAAAGTGCAGTTCAAGTCAGCTTGTACAAGAGTTGGTCAAATGTGCAGCACTTACCGCTATGAGGCTCGCCACGGTTATGTAGCCCCTTTTTACGCACACATTCACCGTCCCCATGTTTACTCTCCTTCGCGTCTATCCCACTGCTAGAGGTCCAGTCCGTGTGTTTTGGTGTTTTTTCAGAGTGGCCCGAAAGTTTTGGCCACGTTCAGCTTTGGAGTAGACGCGATTCCGATGGTGTTGTACTAACTGCTGTTTATTCTTGGGGAAAGGGGGAGTTACTGGAAAGCCCTGCCCATCGGGGATAGAGGGAGCGTGAAATCAGTGCATTTGTGGGGTGAGGTTCGTTCAAGTTAATAATGGGACTGACTTGTTCCGTCACTTCTCATCAAAACACACAAAACATAGGTCCCATAGATGTTGCAATGACTACACGGGCAGGTAAAATGTACGTATTATTTATTACTACAATATTAATGTGGAAATTATGTCAACAAAAGAAAAAAAAAATACTGTACTCCCAGAACAAGCTCACTACTACTAAGTTATTAACTATAGTTTAAATGAACCTTTTATTTACAATGTTTGCCCAAGAGCTCTTAGTGATGGAGGAAGATTAAGAAGGCCATGAGGAAACAAAAAAAAAAAAAAAAAAAAAACCCACAAAGTGCTTTCACTTCGCCCGGAAATCAAACCGAAGAACATGTTATTGTGAAGCAGAAATGTCAACCAATAATGTTCAGGAAGTGTTTTGTATGCATAGTGTGTAGAATCATATAAAGCTTTAAATTTATAGACAGTTCAGTTAAAAGAAAATGATTTCAACTTGGCACCAGTCACTACTTCTCTATGGGAACATTAAGAACATCCCAGTAAGCAGTGTTGGGGAGGTCACTTTTAAAATGTATTCCCCTACAAATTACAGATTGCATACCCCAAAATGTAGTTTGTAACGTAATCCATTAAATTACTTAAAGTGAGTAACATAATCTGAATACTTTGGATTACTTGATATTGTCATGCTTTTTAAAACTACATGAATGTACCAACAACATCCTGAAAATTCTTGTAAAAGAAAATAAAAAGTCCAGTCTTTCCTTAACCATATTAAAATGATTATTGATAGAGAAATGATTTCTATATGAGATCACTGTTGCTTTAAATTATGTCCACGCTACTGTTAGTGTCATATTGTTTAGTCCTGGTTTAATCCTGTTTTAGTCCTGGTTTAGACCTGGTTTAGACCTGGTTTTAGTCCTGGTTTTAGTTCTAGTTTAGTCCTGGTTTTAGTCCTGGTTTAGACCTGGTTTAGTCCTGGTTTAGTCCTGGTTTTAGTCCTAGTTTAGTCCTGGTTTTAGTCCTGGTTTAGACCTGGTTTAGTCCTGGTTTAGTCCTGGTTTTAGTCTTGGTTTAGTCCTGGTTTTAGTCCTAGTTTAGTCCTGGTTTTAGTCTTGGTTTAGTCCAGGGTTTAGTCCTGGTTTTAGTCCTAGTTTAGTCCTGGTTTTAGTCCTGGTTTAGCCCAAAATGTGAAAACAGGAAAATACCACCATGTAATCCATTTATTTCAACAAAGTAACTGTAATCCAATTACTACTCACTGAAACAGTAACTGTAACTGAATACAGTTACTCATAATTTGTACTCTGATTACGTAATGCCAGTACATGTAATCCATTACTCTCCAACACTGCCAATAAGTTATTACTGCTCTATACGTGGGCCTACATTTTTGACTGAAACATTACACATATATAAGTAGAGTCTGTAAGTATTGAAGTATTGAAACATTCAGTGCTATTCGACTCAGGACAAATTCATCAATAATAAAGTGTTGCAAAAATGTGCTGCTGTCTCTGCGGGGACTCTCCTCCCACGGTGCCAAAACAAATGCTTCTAGTGAATGACTGAATGTTTGGTTTGCATCACAGTAGATGGTAAATTATTCATTATTTGAAGCATAAATTACAGTTATCTGAAACAATATTATTGTTTAGTAATGTTTTGTTTTTCTTGTCTTAAAGGTGCATTGTGTAACTTTTCTGATTGCTTGTTTCTATGGATGTCATTTCTCTGCTGAGAATGTGAATGACATTAAACAGCTCTACCTTACGTTTACTCAATTATATATGGTTTTATAGCCCAAAAATACCTAGAAAAAGATGCATTCTGTGATCAAAGTTGCCTCTCCACAGATCTGAGCTGGAACTTAGTCTGGTTTGGTCTCCATGAAGATAGAAAGGTTTAATGCCATACTGTGAAACATTCCAGACAAAGCAATAACATCTCTATGGAGAAAAGCATTTGACAGATTTTCCACCAGAAATGTTACACAGTGCACCTTTAAGTCACAAGATTTTTTAAATACGGTTTAATTTGATTGGAGCCATAAACATAATCAGGATAAAAATGTGACTGACTGCACTGCCCTCTCATAGATTCATTCAAAGGCTCTAATTTATTTGTTTGTGTATCAGAATAGGGAATAAGCCATTACTGTACAATAATAAGTCGCTTTACGAGACTCAAAGCAGCGCTTGTCTTCTGTTGTGTCCATCACAAAGACACCAGTCAGAGTGTGTCCAGTCACGAGACCTGCCCCCTCCTCACTGACTGTACATCAACAAAGCTTCAGACTTTCACCAATAACGTGTCCAATGGACAGGATATTAGTGGAACCATAAGTGATACAGAAAGAGTCATTACGATCTTGAATCACATAGTTTCAATAGAAGTGAGGTGTTTAAACTGGTTTGTTTTGAACACACCAGATTAAACTGCTAATTAGGGGTGTGCAAAAATATTGAAATATCGATATATCGTATACAGTATCGATATTGTAAGCTGCTGTATGGATATATCACTAAGAGTATTTTTTTGGTGTATTTTAGTAAATTATTTTGTTACAGTTTTTTTGCTTGTTTAGAAGAAGAAAACTCAACACATTTGACATTTTCACTGTTTTGATGAGTAAAATGGGAGTGTTTCATATGAATTTTGTACAAGAAGTGGTTTAACAAGAAAAAGAAAGTCTTTTAATATCACAGCCATGATTTAGCCATTATTTTTTAATGAACTGTATTGAATTGATTTCAAATATAGCGTATCGAACCAAATGTGCACTGTATGGTGATATGTATCGTATCAAGGGCTATGTTTCGAGGCATGTATCGTATCGGCAACTTCGTAATGATACTCATTCCTACTGCTAATATGCACCATCAGCCTCTTTAATCAACATCAATCACTCAGTAACTTCATATAGCATATTCTTGTAAACAAGGTGACATGCATTGCCCAAAGACACAACAATAGTAATAAGCACTGGATAAAGCTGAAATCAAACCAACCTTCCAAGAATAAATTGCGTTAGTCAAGTCAAGTCAAATGTATTTGTATAGGACATTTAAAAACAACGACAGCTGACCAAAGTGCTTTACTGCTATGACTATAAGCGACAAATCTCAATAAACCAGCTAGGAAAGGTTAAATTAATAATAATAATTTGACTATAATGAAATTGGAAGATGCTGCAGCTTAGGTGGTGGTACGAATAATAGAATAATACTATAAATACTGAGTAAATGAAGATAAAAAATAAACAGGAAAATAAGTTAAAGGTCCTATATTACACAAAATTGACTCTTGTGTTCTTTAAGCCACATTACTCCAGCAAAAATTGTGTTTAGTTTCATTCACACATATTTGAGTAATATTGTTATTTGTCTGTCTGCCAAAGTCCAAAGCTCAAAAAGCTCTGTTCCACCTTGTGATGTCAAGTTAACAGCTACATTTTACCTTTAGTTCAGTAGATATTGCCAATTCCAGGACTCAAATAATCCAAATGATTCTAGTGAAGCTGTATGGAGTTTAAAAAAACAGTGGAGCACTTCCTGTATTACCGCATGACATGGCAAGATAGAACAGAGCATTTCCGTTTGACAGAAAAACTCAGCCTAAATGAAACAAAACATAACTCCAGGTATGTTTGTGATGAGGAAACAAGATTATAACATAGATAAGAAAATACCACAATATGAGCTCTTTAAATAGCTCCAGCCTGATTCCAGATCTGCTGTTTGCTTCTGTTGTTTGTGGGAACATCTGGAGAGCATAAGACGCAAACACTTTCGGAAATATGCTTGCTGCTTCTCAGTCAACCTCACAGAGACATTTGGCACAGGCTCAGTAGACCGGGAGACAGAGGACATTGTATGGACACAGGAAGTCAGTGGGCGGAGCAGTCTGTGAGCTACAAACGTGATGCAGGAAAAGTGGAGATTTGATGGAAAAATTGGTGTTGGACAGAAGAAGTAGCGGATTCTTAAAATGTCAAGTATAACATTCATTGTGAAAAAATATGTTTTGTAGGGATGTAACAATAATGGAAATATCTTGATATTGTATCATCAAAGCTCTCACAGTAATATTGTGGGCCATCACAATATATCGAATTACAAGTCTCTTTGCTTAAATTAAGAGTTATGGTGCAGAAATAGCCAAAAAAAATAAGACAGAGGGAACTACATAGATCCTTTGCTCCATTTCAGTGTAGACTACGTGAAGAAATAACAGTTCTAAGCACTTTTAAATCTTAGTTCTTTGGGTTAAGTTTTGTCGAGGCATTTTAAGAGGAAAAAGAAGCATATTAACAGTTTTGTTAGCCTCCACAAAATATCACAATAAATATTGTACTGTCAGGTTCATACTGTGATGATATCGTATTGTGAGACTCAGATATTGTTACATCCCTATTGTTTTGTGTTATCGTGTTGTCAAAAGTATTGAAAATCAGATACTAATTGATATTAACACTAATATTGAAACTAGATACATTTGATCAGGTATCAATACGAAAAAGTCACATTAAAAAAGTGATAAAATTTGAGATTTTGTGAGGTTTTTGTATGATTACGAGTTTTATGAGAACAATATTAAGGCCCTGTTGTAACCTGATTAAAGTAATATTACTCTGTGTTGAAAAATACTTTCTGTTACTGAAAAGGAAGCATTTTTGTATACTGTGATACTGTAATCGGTATTCAGCATCAAGTCAATTCTTAAGTATCGAAATTGAGTACAAAATTTTTGTACTGTGACAACACTAACTCTGTTCCACTTCCATATTTTTTATGAGATTGTAACTATTTCCACAGTCAAAATATTTTTTTATTAGCTTCCCTCTCAATGATTAGTGTTTTTAGCCAAGAAGCCCATCCTTATCTGAACTTGGCTTGGAGCTAGCACAAAGTACTCTTACTTGTGAACCATTTAATTGGAATTTAAATCAGTTATCTTATCATATTTTTATGTTTGGAATTTTCTCTCTCCATTAAAAAGGCAGCACAAAAGAATGTAAATAAAAATACGTAACATCTGTCCCACTGAAAAAAAAAAAACATTTATCTTCTTCACACTCACAACTACTGGTCTATTTGGCTGTGTTGTTACATATTTGTTTGACATTTCCCAATCAAAACACATTTTCAGGAATGTTGAAGATGACTTTTTCTTGCTTGCAAATTCCTTTAACTTTTGTTCCCATGAGACACGGCAGACCCACAGCTGCACTGCTATTTTGGGTGGTTATTTAAACAGATGGACAGAACTAGATTAAAATGTTATGCAAGGAACTGGTCTTCTAACTAAGTATGAACAGAGATTATGAAATCTTAACTATGGTCCTTTGAGTATTAAGAGAATAAATAGCTATTGGTGACAGAACAGAGACCCTTGTGCACCCCTCAAAGACAGGAAGTTGTGTAAAAGACTACAGTATTGAAAGCAACCTCTGCCCTGAACAAATACGCTCCAGCTGAGATTTAGCAGATGACTTTGGGCCCAGTGAGGAGTCGCAAAATCAATGCACTGACGTCTGCCCAGTCACATCTGTTTATACTCAACTACACGTTTTTATTAAGTGAAATAACACTCTCCAACAGTTCTGATGAAAGCGGATTGTTTCTGGATAAAAAGATGAACAAATGTATGGTGAATTCAAAATGATTTTTTCTTTTTTTTTTCTTTTGAATGGTGAGTAATTTCTTCTGAACCTTGCAAAATTAGTGCAGTTTTATCTTCCGTCAAAGACGTTTGGCTTGCTTTAATCCAGTGCTTCTTACATACAGTTGCTGAATTAAAGATACAAGCCAAGTGACAATCCTAATCCTTCCAAACATAAAACTAAGATCCACAAAAGTAAAGGAAGGGGGGTTGTGTGTCTGATAAAAAACAAAATGCAAAAAGTATAATTTATAGATCAATAACTTGAATAAAGTTTTAATATTTGTCAATGCAAACTATAGAAAATGAAATGTAAACATGTTTTACAATCACAGTTTGAATGTGTGCAAAGTTCCTCCCATTTATCACAAAACTAACTGTGAGGCAACAGAGAATTGAGCTGTCCTTGAGTTCTCACCTTGATCCTTTTTGGGAAATCTCTCTAAACCAGAACTAGTACTGCTCCAGAGCAAAGCCGTAAAGAAGGCACTCTGCAAAACTTCAACTGAAGCCAAAACCAGGCTTTTTAAACAACAGTCCCCAATGCATTTTTATTCCGAGTCACTTGAGGAGGAGTAATAGTTAGGATCTTTCCCTTCGGGTTTTCCATAAAGTGCATCCCTCAAAGCCTTTAGCTCCTTGGCACTCGGTATCACGTAGTTTGGATCCAGAACTTTCATCATTCCTCTGAATCCTTCTCCATTCACACGCGAGAATGGCCAGCGAAGAGACACAAACATTTTCACCAAGGCTAAATCCACTTGCTCTTTCTTTGTCACTGGAAAGGACCAAATAAAACTAATTATTATTACTACTACACTGTTGAAATAAAGTCAAAATGTTTATAAAAATATTTACACCCAGGATTCTCAGAGTTGACCTCATTAGCCGGCAGCATGGTCGAGTGTTTCGTCCTCATGTGGTTGTGCATGCTTGATGTGCTGCTCCCGATTTAAGACAACTGCTACAAACAGTGCAAGCAACGCACCTGAAAAAAAATTAAATAAATAATAATAATACATTTAAATATTAAATAAGATTGGATTTTTTTTTTTTTTTTTCATGGCCAATACTGTTTGTTTGGATTCCAGAGAAACCGATGGCTCATAAGCTCTGCCGATTTTGATTATTTTCAGATCAGTATTGGCCAACTGATTACTGTAAAACACGTAGCCTGCTTAAACTGATAAGAAAAAAGTTTTGACTAGAAATTGGGTATGGCTGCAAGTCTAGTCTAGTTAGTGATTTGTTTTTTCGGTTAGTCAGCTAGTTCTTAACCAAATAAAGATTGAAATGTGCTGAATGAAGGGTTTTGGATGGAGATAATATTCATGAATAAAGTGTATTATTCACAAATAGTTTACTCTTGTTTAATATTTTGATTGTATAATGTTGCTAAAATCAAAATGCAATTACGATTATTTTAACAGCTGACAATATTATTCCAATCAATTGTGCAGCCCCAAAAGTGGACATAATATCTATCTATAGTCTACCCTTCTGAGGTGTTTGCTTGTTTTCTTTTTGCTTGGGTGAGTTTTCTCCACAAGTTCTGCATTTCCCCATAAAGCTAAGCATGCACAACCAACTAATCCCTAAACTATGCTCTCCAAGATTCCAGATGAAGATATGGGTCCCTGAGCTGTGCACTGTGGTAAGCTGCAGTGGTTCTAATTGTAGAGAGAGAAATATGTATATAAGTAAATATAAATATATAAGACCAGAATCAGAGAGAAATATACAGAAATACAATAAATCATATTTTACCTCAGGTAACTTACAGAATAACTGTAACTAGGGGTGTGCAAAAATATCGGAATATCGATATATTGTATCGTTTAATGTGATGATACAGTATCGATATCGTGGGCTACTGTATCAATATATCACCAAGAGTATTTTTACATGTGTTTTACTAAATTATTTTGTTACAGTGCTACAGTTTTGTTACTTGTGGAGTGAAAGGAAACTCATTTATGCGACACATTTGACATTTTCAGTTTTGAGGATTAAAATGTTTGTGTTTCATATGAACTTTGCACAAGAAGTGGTTTAACAAACACTTTTAGTATCACAGCCACGATTTAGCCTTTATTTTTTATTGAACTGTATCGAATCGATTTGAAATATATCATATCGAATCCAAAGTGCACTGTATCAAGATATGTATCGTATCGTAACCTGTGTAGCGAGGTATGTATCGTATCGGCAACCTCTTAATGATACCCAGCCCTAACTGTAACCCTCAATTATATATTTAAGTGTATTTATAAACCAATAGGTATAAATATTAACATGTACATGGTCAGTGTGTGTTTGTGTGTATGAACATATATTGGATTGTGTTCTGTATTGTGTATGCCAAAAGATTTAAGTACGTATTGTTTCCTGCAATCATAAAAGATGAGTTTTGTGTTGTTTTCTGTAAACAGTTCTGCCATCGTGTATCCTGTGTGACAAAATAAGTGTTAAACTTCAGCCTAAACCCCTTTGGTCTGTAGAATAACTTTAGTGACATGCATAAAATGTATAATTGTTTGTCTTCAATCATTGTAATATGATGTATGATTATGTTAATTGACCGAAGAAAATGAACTAACTAACTAAGAAAGTTTTTGTGATTATATTATATTGTGATGAGAGAGCTACTGTGTCCAAATCATTTCCCTTGTGGGTCAATAAAGTTTAAGTCTAAGAAAGATGCAGATAATATATAATGGCACAATAAACCCTGCTAATACTGAAAATGTGTTGATGCCCCTTTGAAAACTGGTATTTAAGGATCTGGAAGTTTGGATAATTTCTTCTTCTGTCTTGATTCTTTAAAGGATAATAAATAAATAAAATAAAAAGTAGTTTTCAGTGCTAAACGTGCATGTGAAATTAAAAATAATACATTTTCTCGTGTTAAATATATCTCTTAGCCTCCATTAAGTCCTTATGGTCAGTGATTAATTAGAGTTTTAAAACCACACTTCACCTAATCGGGCTCTATCTTTTCGAAATGCTCCCACACTGGAGACCGCTGCTTGGTGCTGCTGGAACCACTCGCCATTATTTCTGAAAAAGCAATGCAAAAATTACTTTTCTACTCAAAGTTGCAGAAATATTCAAGCAAGCTCTCTATAAACTTTTTAATTAATTAATTTATTTTTTTTTATTTTTTTTTAAACATTTACAAAAGCACGCGGCAAACACACCCGGAAGTATAATTCAACGTAGGCGGTCACGTGACATTTGTTTTCTTCCTGCTTCACGATGCCATGCTGCTGCACCAAACTGTAGAGTTGTGGTACTATTTACTTGCATTTCGAAATTATTTTACTGCGAATCAAAGACGAAACACTAACCATTCATGTAGGACAGTTATATAATGTTAAGCGATGTAAATTTGCAATTTATTTGAGCAAAACTTTTAGACCATGGCTTCAGTCTACTTCATGTTAAAACACGAGGGGTTTTCTGGCAGCATCAAAAACTTCACCAGAGACTTTGTAGTGACGGAGATAGACATTTCTGGAAATCAAGTCAGCAAATCAACTACTTGTGAAGATGTGGCCAGTAGTTTTGTTGAGAAAACTAGTCACTCTAGTAAGAAACTCGATGCTTCAATATTAGAAAAGACTGAATGCACATCAGACCCACCCAGTCCAGAGAGTTTACATTTGGGTGTAATTTTGGGCCCAATAATCAATGATAAGCTCGAGCAGTTTGCATCTTCTTTAAAAAGTGGATGCTCGCCAGATCAAGAGTTAAGTTTAGGTTGTTTCACTAACAAGCACCAAAGAGCAAACGTGCATAAAGCTGTCAAACTTCACTTCCCATTTCTGATGACAATAACCAATCAATCTGAGATAAAAGTTAAAGAAAGCCAAGACTACAAAGAGCTCAGGCAACTGGTTTCTGAAGAGGAGGCGGATGCATTTTTCAGATTCACAGATGATAAACTTAGTGGGTCCTCATATACTTTTTTACCTGATGACAATAAGGAACATAGGACAGCTGTGCACCGCTATCTGAGCAGAAGATTTGGGAAGCTGGTGGAGACAAAGAGTTTCACAGAAAAGGGGGAAACTTCCATCTGTGTGAGACTGAGAGAGAGAGGGAAGCCCAAGAAGAGGACAGCGGAGGACTGCAGGCAAGAAGAGATTTACACAGGTATGGAATAATCTGCATTAGATTGTAGGAAAATGACAATGACTGTAATAATAAATACAAAAAAATAAAAAAAAAAAATAAAATAAAACATCTATACAGTACTACATATTGTTATCTGTAAAGGTCCTAGTGAGCTTTAAGCCATGTTAGAATGATATTACCATATGAAAAACATACCTGCATTTATATTTTGTTTCAATTACACGAACTTTAGTAATCCTTTATTATTAGTTTACATGTCCAAAGCTCAAAATAGTCCAATCCACTTTGTGATGTGATTAAGTTTTCAAATTTACCACTACCATTTACATTTTTGGATTCTCAAATGATTCTAGTGAAAGTGTATGAAGTTTAAAAAGACAGTGGAGCACTTGTATTATTTTCATAATAAAATAGATTAGAAAATAGTGTAATATAGGCCTTTTAAGCAAATCTTTACACCTAATCAATATATGGAGTAAGTTAAGGCTGGGCAATATTAGGGTGATAAAAGTCAAATTGTTATCTGATACCTGTGACACTGGTACATTATATGATAACTAGAATAATTAGATCTACTTTGTGGTCTGTTTTTACAAGGATAAGATAAATCTGATCACCAAAAACAGGCAACACGTCATTTAATCACTTGATATTTAGAGTAACTGTTCTATTCAATGCATTTTAATTTTCTTATCTCAATTATAATGTTTCCTAATCAAAACACTCCTGGAGTTGTGTTTTGTTTCATTTATGTCATTCATTCAGATGCAACTATTTACATGTAATTTCCATAAACTGTGATCTCCAGAAATTAGATTATGCTCAAATTTCAGTCTCCCCTGCTCTGACTAAGTGGCAGCAGATCACTTTTTTTAGTTAAATAATATATAATTATACATATGTTGTGATAAATATGAAACTCCAGGATAGAACATTATATGATGTGATAATTTTTTCATATCACCCACCCCTACTGGTACATAAGGAGTAAAGGATGTAGTTTTACTTTTTAAGATTACATTATATTAGTTGCCCATGTTTTCTTTATCAGTTGTGAGCCATTTATGCTGGTATTAGGATTTCACTAAACTACAGAAATGTCTCATATCTTTCAGCATTCACTTTGTGTAAGGAGAATCTGGAGACATTAGAAGCCATCAGCTACATGGCATCTGAGCTTGGAGTTCTGCCTTCAGACTTTACCTACGCCGGCATCAAGGACAAGAGAGCCATCACCTACCAGTCTATGGTGGTCAAGAAGGTGTCTCCAGAGAGGTGTGATATCATATACAGTGCTTAGAAGATGTCATAATTATCAATATAACTAGAGTTGGTGAATATGACATTGTAAAATTGAACTGTGGTGTTACCTTGTGCCAATTCTGATTTGTTATATTGTGATTCAGAGATTTTCTGTTTAATGCAGCTGTCAAACCCAGACACCTGCCTTCTATTTTCCCTCACTCCTTTCTTGGCTTTTGTTATTATCTGAATGAGTGACTGGTGAAATTAAAGATGCACTATGTGACTTTAGTGTAGTGCTTGTCACCTGCTTGTCTCCATGGAGATATTATAGCTTTGCTTGCCAATGTAAGGAATAAAATGTATCTAACTCCATAGAGACAAGCAGAGTGAACTTTTTTTTGTATGTAATTGCCATATTGTCCTAGCCTAATTCATCAGCTAACTTTACTTTGTGGAAACTGTTTCGTTCGCTTGATGGTAGGCGGGTACTTTTTTTATTTAACCAATCGCTGCTATTTGGTCATAACGTATGTAATGCACTGCTAATGAGGCTAACTTGTATATTAAGCTTTTCCCAAATCCCGTAGGAAGAAGGGCAATAACGTCTTTCTCCTTGATAAAATTCACTAAACATTCTCTTTGTTCCGGTTTTAAATCCTTGATCTCGGGAATCGTTGCCAGCACAGAATATGTGGCTCTTCGCTGATTGGCTGGTGCCCGAACTCGCACTTCTGGGGTCCTAGCAAAATGTCTAGTGTATTCCGATTCCTGACCTAGTCGCTAGAGAGAAATGAAATTGAGCTGAGGCATTAGTTGGTGCCGGCCTGGCTAATATTGTCCAGCCCATGATTGAAATGTTTACATAATAATAATAATAATAGTTTTGGTATTAGGTTGAAAAAGAAGGCTGCAGAGTTTGAACGAAGAGGGATCCACCTTTTTGCTGTCCGATCTGTCAGTGAACCTCTGAAGCTTGGGAGACTTCGTGGAAACCATTTTGATATTGTTGTTCGGGACTTAAAACCACACATATATGACGGGCCCGATCCACTTGCCTATACAGAGGTCCTGGTGAAGGCGGCAATGGAAGCGGTCAAGGTACTGTACTGAATAATTTCAAATATTTTCTTTCATTTAAACAAACATAATGACATTTGTTTTTGCTTATAATTTCAGACCAGTGGATTTGTAAACTACTATGGTCCACAGAGATTTGGCATAACCCAGAGAGTCCAGTCTGACCAAATAGGGCTGGCACTGCTCAAAGAGGACATGGTAAATTAAAAATATTTGTATTATTTCGAAGGAAAAACGCATCAGTTATAGTCAGTTATTATTAATAAATTATTAGTGGTAGATTGGCAGGATACTGGTATAGGATTTTGGTGATGATATTGAAAAAAATGTGCTGGATCGGATATAAAATGTATGTAATATCTCTTTCGTGGTTTTAATTGGCCCAGAGAGTCTCAGAATGTATGGTACGATATTTATTGCGATATCGTGGGAAAGCTCACAATATGGTGGGGAGGCTCACAATTAGGGATGTAACAATATCCAAATCTCTCTGTACGATGTTTTCACGATACACATCTCTCGGTACGGTATTTATTGTGAGATTTTTTGGAGGCCAACAAAACTGTTAATATGCTACTTTTTCCTCTTAAAATGCCTTGACAAGAGTTAATCCAAAGAACTAAGACTTAAAAGTGCTTAGGACTTTTATTTCTTCATGTAGTCTACACTGAAATGGAGCAAAGGATCATGGTCTTTGTAGTTCTCTCTGTCTTTTTTAGCTATTGCTGCACCATAACTCTTAATTTAAGCAAAGAGACTGTCCACGATATTATTGTGAGAACTTTGACGATACGATATCACGATATTTCAGTTATTGTTACATCCCTAGTGGAAAGGCGAACCCGCTCACAGTAGGAATGCACAGGGTATTTTTGAGCAATAAAACGTGTAATTTAACAAATATTAGATACATTTAATACCATACTGTTATTCCTGGCAAAGTAATAACACTTCAGTCAGAAAAGTAGATAGTACATGGTGAGTGCATGGGCAAAAAAATAATAAAAAATCTTAGACAAACTTTAGTGATCCACAAGGGGAATTATCTGATATCAGTACGGTAGCTCACACATCACACTATATCATAATAACAAAGACCAAAAAGCGAAATTATAAATGGCAATAATACATTTAAAATATCTTTTGTTTGCCATTTCAGGTCAATGCAGTACATCTTTTCTTTACTCCAGACAAAGGAGACGAGCCCCAAAACCAAGCCAAACGCCACTTTCTTGAAACAGGTGATTATTGACTGGAAGTTGCTAATAGGACAGCTAAATCATGATGATGGTGCTGATCCTTTATTTTGAACACTGTAGACAAAAGAAAAAAAAATACATACATGACATATATTACATAAAAAAAATTCCACCCCCTTGCTATGCATTTATTTACAGGATTTTTGTAAACAGAATTGTGTAAAAAAAAAAAAACACCATAATATATTAGACTAGTTTTGCCTTCCCACCACAGGAAATGCGAAAGAGGCCTTGATGTTGATGCCGGAGTCCAAAGCGAGGGAGCGGCTAATGCTTCGTGCTATGAACCGTTATGGAACAGGTCCAGATGGCTGTACTCAAGCCTGGCTAAGTCTGCCCCACAGCACCAGGATCTTCTACTTACACTCGTACTGCAGTAGGTAGGAGCTTCCCATAGCACAACACTTATGTAAAAAGAACAAAATACAAACTTTAAATGTAACTTTTTTTTTTTTTCTTTACAAGGATAGTGTATAGTTGGTCACTTAGTAGGGGTGGAGAGTGATTGGTATAAATAGAAAGTATGTTTTAATGATCTGTGAAAGGAACAGGGCTTATAGGATGTATCTGTTTCCTGTTCCTTTTTTTCGTGCCAGTAATAACAATACAGCGATGAAGCTGCATTATAATGCTGTTACTTCATCAAAAACATACCTGGAGATGTGTTTTATTTCATTCACACATGTTTGAGTAATCCTTTATTCTTAGTCTGTCTACATCTCCAAAGCTCAAAATGCTCTGTTCCACTTTGTCATGACACGTAGTGGCAGTTTTCAAGTCAATACGTATTTTTTATCTTTTGTTTAGTACAGATTGGCAGTTCCAGGGCTGAAATTATCCAGATGATTCTAGTGAAGGTATATGGAGTTTAAAAACACAGTGGAGCACTTCTTGCATTACCACATGACATCACAAAGTGGATCAGTGTTGTCTGTCTGATACCCTAACTCAGCCTAAATATGCAGGATTTTTGTGTGAATGAAACAAAACACAACTCCAGGTATGTTTTTGATGTGGAAACATTAGAACACGATAACAAAATAATGCAATATGAGCCTTTTAATAGATTTTTCCCCTGAAATTTGTGCACAGTGAAACAAAATGAAATAACGAGCAATTAAAAATACAAACATTAGCTGAACTGTGCAACTACATATTATGTCAGAGTAAGCATAGAAGCTTACTAGTAGTTTCCATCTGTGGTCTTCACCAGATATAGAGGAGGCACCCTGGGAAGAAGGGTTACAGTCAGACATATCATGGTTAAACATAGAACATTTCACAGATTAGTAATAGGTTAGTTTTCAAGATGACACGAATGTTAAGACTGGTCACAAGAAACCAGACAGAGCAGTATAAGCAAGAGTTGTTTTCAAGCCAATTCATATTTTAATATCATGACATCAATATCATTAAAATAAGAAAATAATATAACTTAATATGGAAATAAATGACAGTATACTACGATAGAAAAAAATTTATTTGGCTAGTAACCAAAGAGGTAGTGCTCCATGTGGCAGGGGTTAGGTCCATCATCACTGCGTGCGGCTTTAATTTTTATTATTACTTTGTTCGTAGAGTGTGGAATGAAGCTGCTGCTCATAGACTGAGTACTTTAGGCCATAGTGTTAAACAAGGAGATCTGGTGCAGGAGGTGACTGGCACAATGGATGACAGTGCGGACGCTAGCTCAAACCAGGTAATTTTACACCTACACAACACTCTTTTATGGTGATCCGTTTATTTTATCCATTCAAGAGAACATGTAAATGGCTCTAAGATGAAAGATTTCATTTTCTTTGACCTGTTTGAAGGCTCAAGGTTATTTTATTTGTACCAACAGATAAATTGTATTTGGCAGTGAGTCAGCTCATTTATTCATACATTAAACACATCTGCATCTAAAAAAGTGACTACATTACTTGTAGGTAATAAACCGAAGCTCGGATATTTTGCCATTATAAACACTGGTACTTCTTAGGAAATCGGATTGGAATGTTTCAGCTTTATTGACTTTCTCTTTATACTTATATTGGATGCAGCAGAGGTGTCAACTTAACATGGCTTTAAATGGTAGCACTAGAGTAAAGAATGCATTAACAATAGTATTTGACATCTGTGTGAAGCATTTTAGGTGAGATATTATTAGTCACACAGTATGAAAACAAATGTAAATCTTTTCAGCTAGGAGGGCCTACTCTAGTGGAGCTGTTAAGGACCAAAAAGTGCACAACAGTTCACTTTTATGGTACAAGCATGAAACTTTGCCAGATTATTAACATCCCTAGGACCAACATTTCTGGATAAGGAACCAGGCCTAAGTTGACTCTGGAGTACTGCTCTTATGTATTCTCAATTTTCAAAGCCATATGGGAACAAAGAACAACAAATCTGTTTTATAGGTGATATTATCCCACTCTCATTGTTTATGTACAAAAAACGCTAATAAAAATACTTGAAAATGTGTCTTGCCCAACAGCACAGTTTACAATGACAGCCATCAAGTGGGAGAAAATGTATACTGCACATCTCTTTTCTCAAGAAAATATTTACAGTATATTGAATTTTTCTTCTCAGAGTTATGTGGCCAAAGTTACAATGAGATAATTATCAGGGACAGTGACTCTATTCTCATTCAAAGGCAGAAAGTGCTCAGTTGGCAGAGACACTAAGTCGGGTTGGTAGTTTGAACCCTGTATTTGTGTCCCTGGACAAGACACTTCACCTCCATTACTGTCTGTGTCTGCAAACAGGATGAATGAGTATATGCATATTATGTGTGAAATATGAAGCGCACTTCGAGTGAAAAAAAACAACAAAAAAACATGATAGAAAAGTGATGTATTTATCAACACAACCATCCACCCCAAATGTGACATGATAGATAGATTTTGTACCTTTACTGCCATTTCCTGAATGTCCTCTCCTGCCTTAGAACCTATGTATTTGAGGCAAAAAATTGGGCACTTGGGGACAGTTTTATTTTGAAACTCACAGCTCTTCAAATAGGATGAGTTTACATGAATGTTTCTATTAAAAAACAGATAATGTTATAACTACAGACACATAAACCACCTACTCCTTCACTTCCCTGACCTGTTTATTCACCGGTGAAACTTGAATTTTTGATACATAATTGTTTTTGATCAACACGGGTGCAGCTAAAAGAGCGGGACTAGAGAACAATACTGTACCAATTCTAAAATTAAAATAAGTTGATCAGTAAACTTCTGTCTCACTTTGGCAAATATGTGTCATACTCCAGAGGGCACCATATTGCCCTGCCTGGATACCTACAAAATAAATCATATAATTTAGTATTGCTTCATCGTTTTTGTATTTTAGATACAACCACTCACAGACTCTTTTAACAAATACAGCTGGAGAAGATAAGACATTTTATTGAGTTGCCAATGGCTATGGAAGTCCTTTTTTGTTTTTTGTTTTTAACTGAAGCTTCTCAGGCTGCACACCAAAACTTAAGTTGAACAACTCACATAATTAACAATAATAATACATCTGTTTTATATGGTGTAACTCAGACACTTCACAATACAAATAACAGGACAAAGAAATTAAAGTAGTGAGGAAACAGTCATTTCTGGGGGTTACAGGCTATGAGGAAAAGGTGATCTTTGAGCTGTTTTTTTGAAGGTGTTTAGTGAGTCCGAGTTCCTGATCTGAAGGGGGAAAGAGTTCCAGAGGGTTAGGACAGCAATGGCAAAGGCTCGGTCCCCCCATGTCTAGTGCTTTGATTTGATTGCATGACGGGTGGTGGGACTGGAGGAGGTCAGTGAGGTATGGAGGGGCCATAACCAGTTGGGCTGATAGCAGAACAGAAGAGTCTATGGAGTATGTGAAAATTCTTCCCAAAACTGAGACATTTTCACTTTCTTTCTTAGAAGCTGTGATTCATCAAATACTTCTGCTTTTTCAAAATGACATGCTAAAATGCTGATACTGAACATATCACTTCACAATGTGTCTCCTGTGACATTTACCACAGCACAGTGCTCATTTCAGTTCAGTTCAGTTTTATAAAGGCCAACACTAGTACCCCAAACACTGTTCTCTCAGTGTCTGGCCTCGCTTCCATGCAGCATTTAATTATTATGAAATATGAAATGGCAATTACAGATCTTTAGAGATCGTTAAATGTTTTTTGTTATCAAAAACACAATAAATCTGGCTTTGAAAGATAAAATATTTAATTTACTTGGATTTCAACCACAGAAAACCCACACAACCCTTACATTCTCAAGGAAAACTGTCACATGAGCTCCTTAATGCATTAGACTTTAGAAAAGAAAGTGGTTCAATATTACAAAATTGATAACTAAGCAAATGAGTGTAAGAGAGGGATTATGCAGTATTTTTTTTATGCCAGCCTCATTTTCATGTAGTTGATTTTGAGACATGCGCAATTCTCAGTTCCAGTGTTAAATTAGACTTGGTTCCATATCCAGAAATATTAGTCCTGGGGTTGGCAAAGTTTCATGCTTGTACCATAAAAGCAAACTGTTTTGGTCCTTAATAGCTCCAGTACTTTTGGAGACTTGTTGGTAAAATGTGCTATATAAATAAAGATGGATTAGCTTGGATCTTTCTGTATGTCTGCCTGTTTTCCCAGATCCATGTGGTAACAGAGGAGGAGGAGAGGGAGAGAGCCTACACACTGGCACAAGTATGTTAATTATGTCAACTGTTTTACAAGGTGCTATACTTAGAAAAGAAATGCCACCCCCTACTGCACAACTTTCACCCAACAAATGGTGCATGCCAGGCTGTAAATTTTATGTGGCGACTGTTCAAAATGTAAACACACTGTTTAATGTGGATTTTTCTTTTATAAATGTACAGTATTTTTTAAATATTCCAGTTATTTGCCTATTGATACTTTGCAGCTGATGTCATAAACATTCCCGGGGGGTGTGATGCTAACTTTAAGCACTGCTCTGTCTGAGGCTTTGTTAGACTTTAATCTGAGCTTTACTTAAACACATTCTGACGTCTCACATTCAAGAACTGATTTAGCTGGAACTTCAATACGTGAGCTGATTTGCGCTGTTAAAAAAAGTCCCTCTGACATAAAATTACAGTCACAAGCTAGTCATCAGTTTTTTAGTTATTCACACCCACAGTTTTTGTTGAAAATCATAAACAGGACCATGAACACACTTTTTGATCACATACCCCTGAAAATGTGTTGTTTAAATTCATATTATGTTCTCTTAAGTTCACAGACAATCTTAAAACTTTTTGACTGTATTGGCTAATGTGTGCATCATGGAAACTCTTCAACATTCCACTGTGAGAGATACAGTGCTATGTCACTGTAAAGGATCAATATTATAAAGAGATTTACTAATGACGGCTATACTACCAAACCTATCATGCTTTATATAGTTTTTACTGCTGCACTGTGAAAAGCAGGGGGCGTCTTTGTGTACTTTTTAGTTAAGATACACAACCGGTCAAAAGTTTTAGAACACCCTAATTTTTCTAGTCATTTATTGTAATTCAAGTCGGGCAAGTCCAATGAAGAGCTTAAAATGGTACAAAGGTAAGTACTGAACAGCCAAAGGTTACAAAAAAAGTTAATGATAACAAAACACAAGTCTAAGCTCTGCCAAAACTACCTCAGAAAAAAGAACAAGATGGTAAACTTGAAAACATGGAGTGGCCAGCACAATTGCTAATTTCCACCTTCAGTCCCTGGACAGGTTGATGTCATAAATGGCGCACATGCCAATAAAATACATTACAGTGTATACTCATGCAATCATACTCCAGCCAATCAATAACTAAAACTAGTCCCATTCAGTCTCAGTCACAACATCCATACAGTATTTACATATTTACAGTTCATATTGCTGCATTCCTACAGGTCTGTTTGGTTAAAAGCCGTTGTTTGGCCAGGCGTGCAAACATGTCATAATAATTACATGATATAATTTCACGTGGGAGGCTGTTCCAGAGGCTTATGGCTCTATAGGAGAATGCTGATTGACCACATGAGGTTCTGCATCTTGGATCATTACACTCTCCTCTGGCTGTGGACCGCATGGCTTGGCAGGTTTTCTCTGACGTGAGCACCACAAACTTTCTCAATGGGGGGGGCATCTGAATTATGAATGATTTAAAATAATCTTAACATTTGATTACACTTAAGCAAGTTATCAAAATTTAACAATTTATACTTAATCCCCATCGAGCTGGTTTTGGGATGAACTGGACAAAAGAGTGAAAGCCATGCAACTTACAAACATACTGTTACATCTGCCAAAGGTGGCTACTTTCTTGAATCAAAAGTTTAGAATACATTTTGGCCAACAGTAAGCAGTAAACAGTAAAAATTTATGGTCTAAAACTTTTGAACAGTAGTCTATTTCTTTCAAAAATGTCAATCAGCCATAGAGTTGTGACTGCTTAGACCCCTGCCACATATCTGAAATTATAACACAATTGTTTTATCTTGTGAATGCAACATAACCAATTAATTAACCAATAGCATTTTAATCATGTATTTGTTTATTTCAGGTCCACCTCCCGATGCCAGGAAACACAGTGAAGTATCCTGAAAACGCTATGGGGACCTGGTACAGAGAGAGACTGGCCAAAGATGGACTGGAGAGCTGCCGTTTCAGAGTCAGCAGCCTCAAACTGAATGTGCCTGGCTGCTACCGCCCTCTACTGGCCTTTCCACGCAACCTCAACTACCAGCTGCAAAGAGAGCGAGGAGAAGGGGCGGATAACTGCACAGAGGTATCAGATGGAGCGGGGAGTGACAAAGCGACAGAAGACCAATTCAAACTAAATCTGACTTTAAATTTTGATCTCCTCCCCTCCTGCTATGCCACTGTGTATCTCAGAGAAGTCATGAAGTTTATGGTGAATTAGTATGAAACACTTCTATCATTTTGTACCATTTCTGCCTTTACATTTTATAACTGGAAGTGTATTACTGTAGCCTACAATTTTAGAATAACAAATGAAGAGTTAATTTGCAAAAACAGATAAGTCTCATTTTTAAAAGGCTTGCAGTTTAATCTTTGTATTGCTTTGTTTTCAAATGCTGAATGTGCTTTACTGCCATCAAAATATTTCATTCCTTCTTAATAAAATCCACTAGACATTATGTTCCTTCATAATACATGTAGCAGATGGGACAAAAACTAAATATTTCTTGTTTTTTGCAACTGAACTTAAATTTGCTTTAATTCACACAAAATATTTAGTTAATTGTTCAAAATCAACTATGATAAAACATTCTTGCCTGACTGGTTTTGATATTTTGCAGTGACATCACGCAAAGGGTGTTCTACATGAACGCGTATGATGGAATGGCAAATGGAGAAATTCAATGCCACAACTGAAGAAGCAGCTTGGATGAACTATGAAATATTTGACCAAAATAAACTTTTGTCCAGTTGACAAATTGAATTTCTCCTTTTGCCATAGATTCTACCTGGAAGACTGAGGGATTTTACACACATGTATGGTGGAATATTCACCAGTTACCATGGTGACACAATGCGCAAATTAGTAAACATTGTTTTAAGATAGTCTGGTCCTGATTAGGAGTTTTATTTTCAACAAAAAGGTGAGAGTGTCTGTAATGTTATTTGAGAAGCAAGTCCTTCACAAATCGGCTCACCTGTTCCATCTAAGTCAGTTCTTTATGCTGTCTTTATCTTTATCTTTCTGCTTCAGACAGAGCAGAGCCTACAGTTATCTTCACACACCCTAATGTTGATAACATCAGCTGCAAAGTATAGGTATATTGAGCAGTGTTATTTGAAGTTTGTTTAATTTAGTGATATTCAAATTCTAGATGACTTATAAGTAGGGATGTAACGATACCCAAAACTCACGGTACGATATTGTTACGATATTTTATTATTTATTTTGGAGAAGCTAATAGATGTGTGGGTACGATTTTTCTTGCTTTTGAAATACCTTGACAAGACTTTGGTGCGACTCCTTACTGTCATAATCTCAAGATTTAAACTAAAAAACATTTCTTTATGTTGTCTGTGCTGAAATGAATCAAGGGATATGTAGTTCCGTATGCTTTTTAAACTGTTTCTACTATAAAACAAGGCATTTAAACAAAGGAACTTGCAATTCGATATATTGTGATATATTGTGAGCCCTTTGACGATACGATATCATGATATTTCAGTTATTATTACACCCATACTTATAAGTAATAAAATACTGTACAGATTTGGTTGTCAATATTGTGTGCTTTGCTGCAACAGACACTAGATGGAGACAATAGATAGGAATTTGCACATTGGTGGTGCGTGGCCCAGAGTTACGTTTATGAACAAAAACAAGCTAAAGTGCATCATATGAGCACAGTACCATTTATTATCTAGGCTAGTAGTTCCTTACTTTTTTTGTCTGCAGTACTTTACAAGCTTTTCTCACATTATGAATACCCCCCAGCTTCTGTAATGTTGATTATTTTGTAAGATGCAATCTGGTAAATAGTATATAATCATATTTTACTTTTTAAAATATTTTCTTGCTTTAATGTCCAAAATTATCCTTAAACCATTCTCAGTTGTGTCGTACAATGTACATTTTATATCCAAATGCCATAAAAGTGCTCACAGACACCCAAAGATCCCCATACCCATGGTTTAGAACAGGGATCTCAGACTTGCGGCCTGGGGGCCAACTGCGGCCCTCGGAAGGATTTTTTGCGGCCCTCCACTTAATTCCAAAGAGTAATGTCAGTGCGGCCCGCGGTAGATGTACGCACAATCCCACCCCGCAACGAGTCTAAGTGGATCTGTTAATACAAGCTCATACGGCGTTTTTATTTCATGCAACCGCTATTTATCAAATACTCAATACGGCCCAGCCTCACTCAGACTTTATCTAATGTGGCCCCCAGGTAATTTGAGTTTGAGACCCCTGGTTTAGAACCACTGATCTAGGTTCTCACATTAAGATATTTTTCTTTAAGAAGACATTCCCACCTAATCTTAGACCAAAATCCAGCCCTTTACAGAGACAGTTTAAAGATCTATGTTATAATCCTCATCAAAAGTGTATCTGGAGTTTTGTTTTGTTTCATTTACACATGTTTAACACACAAACTCTGCATATTTAGGCTGAGTTCTTAGTTCTTCTCTCAAACTGAAAACACTGTTCCACCTTGTGATGTTATGTGGCAATACAGGAAGTGCTCCACTGTGTTTTTAAACTCCATGCACCTTCATTAGAACCATTTGAATAATTTCAGCCTTACAATTCCCAATAACTACTGAACAAAAGGGAAACGATAGCTACTGACTTGGAAACTACCACATGGTGACATCACAAGGTGGAACAGTGCATTTTGAGTTTTGCAGATGTAGACAGACTAATAATTATGGGTTCCTCAAACATGTCTGCCCCTAACCCTAACCCTGTGAAACAACACAACCCCATGTATGTTTTTGAGGAGGTAACAACATTATGACATGGCTCAAAGCTCACAAGAGTCTATTTTGCACAGTATAGGACCTTTAACACCTGAATTTAAACCCATAATTCCCCATAAATGTCTGTAATAATTAGAGTCAATCAGTGTGTAACTAATGTATAGATTTTTTTTTACGAGAACACTGAGGCAGAGTTAATTTCACTGGCTGTACTTTCAGATTATTATAGCTGGAGGAAGATTCGAAAACGGCTGTCATCAGATGTAACTGCTTGATAGAGTGGCTGCCTTTGAGCTGCTCAACAGATTTGCTGTAATGAGTTTTTGCACTTTTTTAAACTTTAGTCTCTTTATGACACTCTATCCATCAGGAAAGTGGGTTATAATTGAAGCTACGCAACACCTTTCCTTGATCTTTGGCTGTATAATAAATAACTTGAATCTGTTTTTGTTAGAAGCCTTGAGGGTTCAGTTTGACAGGTGATTTGCAGTTTGGTCCAATGTTTCTGATACTTGGAAGTATTAGAACCACTAAATCAAATGTAGGTGTCATATACTTTTAATTTTCAGTTGTTGGGAAAATCCTAAATCTAGTAAACTGATATGTGAACAAACCTATCACACTCACCTCAATAAGGTTTCCAATTGGTTATCCAGACAGTGAAGGACTTGCATGTCCTTGTTATGTCTGGTTGGTTTCCTTTAGTTTTTCCCATCAGCTTAAAAATACACTGTATAACTTTTAGATAGAGAGTCCGCTACCTGCTTGCCTTCATAGAAATTACATAGTTTTGCTTTAGAATGCACAACAGTATGGCATTAAACATTTGCATTTATTCAATTACAGGTGATTTTATTTCTCTAAATTCTTGAAAAATTGGAAAAACCTCCCCAGATTTGACCTGCACATATTTCTCTACATGGAAATAGATAAGTTTAAAGGGACAGTCCACAATTTTGGACATAGGACCTCATTTCCTAATTAGCCAGAGTGTTGGAGATGTGCGGAGTCCTTGTAATAATGTTTGAAATAAAACTTGAAACCTTGCATCGCATGTTGAGGGACTATTTTCTTAGCAGCAGTGAAATTTTACTTTGGCGGTAAGATAGGTGCTAGGTGATATCAGTGTGCCACTGCCAAGCTTTCTATCAGGAAGTATAACTTGCTGCTGCTGCTCAGACATAAATCCTTCAAATGCAAGGTTGTTTTTACTTCTAAAATTGTTCTATCGACACAAACATTCACATTGACAGTCTGGTGTTATAATGGATTTGCTTCGGGTGCTTTGTGGAGTGGGTAAGACTGTTTTTAGTGGCAGGTAACTATGGCCATTAGCATGCACTAGTCTATCACGAGTGACCTCTGCAAATACAAGGACTGGATGGAATATTTTTAAAAAGTGTCTCCAACACTCTGGCTAACTAGGAAATGAGGTCCTGTGTCCAAAATTCTGGACTGTCCCTTTAAGGCCATTCTGTGGAACATTCCAGGCAAATATAACATTCCATGGAGGCAAGCAAGTGCGGACCCTCCACTAGTTAAGTTACACAGTGCGTCTTTAAGTCATTGTAATATGGGTCAAATGCAGTGAGAATATTTAAAATGCTGCTAAATATTTGTATAAATGCTTTTAATTTAAACATGCTCTGTGCAACTTTTCTGATGGAGGTGTACCTGTTTATCTCCATAAAGATTTGCCTGTAATGTTCCACAGTATGGCATTACACTTATCTATTGTGTATTTGCTTTATCACAAGTGTTTTTTATTGCTCAAAATACATTCATTTTCACTGTGATTGGGCTCGCCTTTACACAGATGTCACTTGTAACTCGGACTGATGCCATAACTGTCAGGGAATTTACCCTAAGACATCAAATTACATTATATAAGACACACCAAAACGAGACAGTTAAAAGTAATACTTGCGCAAGGAGAGAGAGCTGTCAGAGCCTGTCAATACCACTGGCTGAGCCTCTCTACTCTGCCAGCTCTCCTCCCAACAGCAGCTTTTATTGCAGTCATTTCACAGATAACAATACAGTACATTATGTTATATCACACAATGGTTACAATGATCACATGCTAACAATCTTTAGGCTAAACCACCCTCCCATTTCACACTTGATTACAGGCTCCAGGTGATAAACAATTTGGCCAGTTTTCTCCCAAAAACTTATGCTAACCACATGAGGGAAAAAACCCTTAGCTGTCTTCTCATGGGTGACTCAGTAGATTAGCTTAATGAGTCAGGAGTTCTTGTACTAGGACATATGATATACATATGGAAAAACCCAAAAACGCAATTGTTGATAACTTTAATCACACACACAAATGATTATGATTTTAAATGATTCATAATATTTAAAATAACACAGAAATTCCTTCACATTTCCCTCCTGTTTATCAATAATGCTTTACCTCAGAGTACTATAACTTCTAAGCAGATTCATGCTCTTCAGCTACATATACTTCAATTCTGTCCAACACCCTTATCAGGAGCAAGCGGATACATAAAATACAACATAACACAAAAAAACACTTATACCACTAAGCATTGATGTAAAAATGGACACTTTTCCATGCCCCCTAAAATCTAAATTCACTGTAAGGTGAGAGTGTGTTTTTTTTTTCCCCATGATATGCTATCAAAGCTTTCGTTACAAGTTAAACCCCCTCCCGGTGTTGCTGTATGCTATATTTGCCCCTTTTTTATTGAAATGAGCGTGTCGTTGCAATAAATGAGCGTGTCTGTGTGTTTGCCTAGACCTGCATCTAAACCCAAATTTCTTAATTTTAAATTTTCAAAACCCCTCAGGAGAGCATCATTTTTCACTGTAACCATACTTCTTTGTTGTCCCCTTTCTGAGGCTGTGGCTCCGCAGGCTGGGATTCAAGGCTGCGTCAGATAATCAGGCTGATGTTGTACAGTCACTCACGTGACCAGGTGACTGACCATGTTGCAGTGCCCAAGAAGCAGGGGTTACCAGCCCGTACTTCTCGTAAGAACACCGCTGCTGCTTAGTAGTGCGAGGTCCTGCGTCTCTCTTACGCGTCGAGGTTTCTGGACTTACAGTGACTCAGGTGGATCCACCCGCTCCTCCCTTCGACCTTAACAGCGGTGGGAGTGGTCAGCAACACACGGTGTGGTCCTTTCCTTTCGATCACTGGACCAGCATTTCCGTTTTATCACCTTGATGAACAACAAGGCTCCAACACCGACAGGTGGATGCTGCTGTGAAGAGAGTGGAAGATCCGGCAGGTTACTGTTCTCTGAGCAGTCTCTAGCCAGTAATGTTTCCTCCATGTACTGGGCTAGATCAGGTACAAAGTCAGGTGTATCTCTTTTACTTCATGCTTTTCATTAGTTTGTTCTTACTGTCCCATTTGTGCGTTTCCATGAGTCCAGCCGATTGGGGTCTATACATGCAATGTCTCTTTAGATCTATTTTTTGACGCTCTCCCAGTCTATGACCTTATTCACAAAATGCATCCCATTATCACTTCTAATGATTTCTGATATAACCAAGGTGGGATTAATGTGGTTACATAGGGTTTTTGCCACTGTGATTGTATCAGGCTTGGCTGTGGGAAATATTTCAATCCATTTTGAAAAACATCTATTACTCCTAAACAGTAATAAAATCCATATGTAGGGTCTGAAAGGGGGTAGGTTGGTTGAGGAAACTGGCCTCTCTTAGGTCTAACTTGCAGATTAAACACTGTCTGCAAAAATTTTTGAGTAGGTATTAAAT